GTATATCACTATATCACATATCATTTAGTATATTTGTATATTATATTAGTTTATAAATATATCACAATTTATTATCATGCTATGAAATAGCATAATGTTTAATTGAATAATAAAAATTGCAACGATATCTTTGCATACGATCAATTGAGTATACTGTTTACGACATTCATTTAAAATATTTGCATTTTATAAGTGTGATGTTTGAATGTTTGATTTATACATTTAATGAATTTAAAAGAAGAAACGACAACTATCACAAGTGTTTATCGCCTAAAACGCTATTTATGCAATGATCAATTGACACTTATTCGATATCATCAACTATAAGATTTTTCATTTAGTCTAAAATTGGAAATGAAAAAAAAAAAAACAAATTTATATTATTGGAAGCTTTACTATATCTTCTTCGTTCCTTTACTACATCTTTACTATATTCAAAAAATAATGACGATAATATGAAGATGTTTATTATTCAGTGACGGAAACAATATCAGTTTGTTTCATTTGTCGGTTGATGTCGTAAATGAAAACTGACGATTAGATTAATTAATATTATTAAGATCATTTTTTTAAGATGAATTCTGTAATTAATTGCGAAATTTCATCCCAATTGTTGACTGCTTGCAAAAAAAGTTTTTCTAATTTTTAAATTTGTTGAAAAGCTATTGAAATAGAATGTTATTATTGTTATGTGAAATGCTTCGTAATTATTTTAAAATGTAATGATTAATTATTTTAAAATAAATTATAAACAATTCTTTAAAATGAATCAATTTCAGCATTAATGCATTTACAATGTTTTGCATTTGCTAACAAAAATTAGGCATTACCAATTAGACAAATCTTAGGCAAATTAGGCAAATCTTATCATTTCCTCTTATTTAATAAAATTTCAGTTAGATTCCATCCCATATATCTATATCATCATAACAGAATGATACTTAACAAAATTTCAGTTAGATTCCATCCCACATTATCTATATCATCATAACAGGATGATATAATTTAGATATAATTTTCATTTCCTTTAATTCCTATTAATTTCGTAATATATTACATAGAAGGGATAATTTATTCAAATTAACATATCATATAAAATTAAGACAATTTAATAATTTCAATTTCTACGATATTTGAGAGAAAAAAGGAAGGGGGAGAGAATGAAGAGAGAAAGATAGCAACATCGGATAGGATTCATTTTTGTTTTCTTTGCAAATGTTTTCATTGGATTCATTTTACTAATCTTTTAACATAAGGCGATTAACGAAACAGCTTTTTGTTGAAATGATTTCAGTCGAAATTTCAGTTTCATCATATTTTCTGGATGATTTCCCTTCAAATTCCGTTTGGTTTAAAATTCAAACTAATACTTTTACATTTATTATAATGGGAAATAGACGAAAATTGCTTGATTTCTTTTCTCTTCTCTCTCCCTCTCTCTCTCTCTCTCTCTCTCCCTCTTCCCATTTCAAACTTTGTTAAAATTTTTTATTTCATTCAGTTCAACTTTTTCTTTTCATTTTGATAATAGCTTTTCGTTTTTTTTCTTCCTCAATTTTCTTCGAGAGATTTGTTTATTTTATTTAAAATAATTGCCTAAAATTTGATCCATATATATATATGTATGTGTGTATGTGTGTGTGTATGTGTGTATGTGTGCGTATGTGTGTGTATGCGTGTGTATGTGTGTATAGTAATTTTGGTAATTTTGAAATATTAAAATTGAAATGATTCAGTTTAAACTATTATCCCTTTTTTCTTTTGTCGATATTTTAGGAACTGAAAAGTAGAAAGAAAAGAAAAGAGAAAGCAAAAAGATAAAAACAAAGATTTAGCATATTTTTTTTTATGTGAAATTATTTTTTGAATCTTTGAGAAAATTGAAACGATAAGATGCTAAAACAATTTCAGTAGATATTTTTAAATAATTATTATATTTTGCAGATAGTTCAAAAAGTTTGAAATTAAATTTGATTTATCCTAAAATTGATATGTTCCTATCATATTTAATTAATTTTGTTAGCTTAATCAAATATTTTTAATGAATGGCATCATAAACAAAAGAATTTATATACAAGTTTCTTTCTCGTAAGCTTTAAACTTTGTAGTACCACAAATGTTACTGTATTTCATAAGAATGGATAATTAGAATGATACATGAACAGGTAATAAGTCATATTGTTATCATTGTATATTTAAAGAATGTAATTAAAAAATAATTAATTTGAGTAATTCCATGTAAAATTATCAGTTAGTAATTTTTTTCAATAATTTCTAATATTTTGATATGGATAAATTACATATCAAAATATTATCAATTTCAGGTTTAAAATGTTTAGAATAGAAATTTCACATTGTACTTCTTCTTAAGCATTAAAAATATATTAATGCTGAAATTTTAAATTTAAATAAAATTTTTTCAGAGAACAATTTATCATCATCAATAATGAAAATTAAGGAAAGATACATTTTCGAATTCCAATTTGAATTTGCACAATTATTTAAAAGCAATTTTTCATTACTAAAAGAAAATTAAGCATTAAGTTTAAAGCGAAATAAACTCTTGAAATGAATGCGCATTTTACGAAGTACAAAATGAATTGATGAAAAAAAGAGGAAATTTTATAAATTCTTTTATTTACGATACCATTCATTGAAATTTAATTAAAACAATTAAATAACGATGAACTTTTATTAAAATCTATTTAATTAAAATTGAAAAATATAAATTGAATAAAATGAAGTAACTATGATACTTTCATATAAAATATTAGCTTTCAGTTCTCATTTCCAATATCAATTTCAATTAATTGTTATCAATTCAGATTATCGAAAAATTGAAATTCAACAAAATGAAATAACTATAAAATAAATGCTTTCAGTTATCATTTCCATTGATATCAATTTCAATTAATTGTTATCAATTCAGATTATCGAAAAATTGAAATTGGACAAAATGAAATAGCTATGATACTTTTATATAAAATAAAAGCTTTCAGTTATCATTTGTATTAATATCAATTTTAATTAGTTGTTATCAGTTCAGATTATCGAAAAATTGAAATTGAACAAAATGAAATAACTATGATGCTTTCATATAAATTAAAAGCTTTCAATTATTGTACTAATATCAATTTCAATTGATTGTTATCAGTTCAGATTATCGAAAAATAGAAATTGAACAAAATGAAATAACTATGATACTTTCATATAAAATAAAAGTTTTCAGTTATCATTTCCACTGATATCAATTTCAACTAATTGTTATCAGTAACAGATTATAAATTATATCTTGTCAAGTGCAGAAAGAGAAAAGATGAAAATTCGACACTTCAGAGCTGTTTACTTTATTATAAGATGGCAAAGGAAAAAAAAAACGAAATGACGAAAATATTTTCATTTTTGGTTAAATTATTTGATTTTAAAATAGAAATTTCCTTTTCGATATTCAACTTTTCCTTTCCTTTCCTGTTTATGAGAAAATTTTTCCAGCAATATTTATCATTTCTCTTCATCACTTCTCTCATAACGGTCTCTAAATTCTCTTCTATTTAAATTATTATCTATCATTTATTGAAATGATTGTATACATATGCGACAATTGCGCTAACATTATTTATATTGCCATTTTATTCAAAAAAAGAAACTAGTCGAAATGAAGTTTGATAGAGATCTCACTAAATTGTAAACAAATCTTTTGCTAATTATTCATAAACAATTTAAATTTCCAAATCTTTTGCTAATTATCCATAAACAATTTAAATTTCATATAATTTATATTGACATTTTAACTTAACAATATGAATATATATATATATTCATATTGTTAAGTTATATATATATATAATAAAAAGTTGATTTGTAGCATAAATTAAATTCGATATTTGACTAAAAAAATATTTGGTTCAATTCGAAAATTAGCTATTTGAAATTAGAAATGGTCATAGTCTAAAATATTTCAAATCTTCGTTGTATATTTTATTAACTCCAAGATGTGTACATAACTCTAACTTTACATAATCACTAAAACATTTATTAAGAAATGGATAATTATTCATTATCGCTTTTGTTTTGTACATCTATATAATATAATTTAACTTGTTTTCTTCAATTAACATATCATTAAGTCGCAGTATTATTATTATTATAAATTTTGCACATACGAAGAAATTCAGGCCTTATCAGTATATAATCCCTTCTTTTTTCATTATAATATATTGTAAATCTTAGCAATGAATTGTTCTAATTAAACTAAGCAATAATAATTTTTCATCATTTCAACAATGCTACGATTGTTCGAAAGACTTTAATCGATTATCTATCTGTCAATGCTTTTTAATGAAAAATTTTTTTACATATGCAAGTACTTTGTTTTGAATAAAACTAAAAGAAAGGAATTATATGAAAAATATATCTAAAAGCTTTTAAGTCTTATAAAATTATTCTTTCTTTTAATTTATAAAATATTCCTGAAATATCTATCATTCATTTTTTTCATAAGCTTATTCCTAAAATATCAAAATTATTTATTATTATTCCAATTTGTCTATTTTTATTTGTTTACTGGAAGAAGAAATTTTTTTTCGATAATATGTTTATTAAATTACATAAGAGAAGATTGTTAAATATATTATCTCTTTTCAGATAATATATTTATCATTCTTTTATGCATAAATACAACATAAACAATCATGCCGGTATATGTCAATATTTTCAGCTATTAATTTGATTTAAAAAGGAAGAATATTTCTACAATACTAAAACCACATTTCATTGTTTGATCAATTTGTACTCTGTTACTTTTACTAATTAATTTAATTAGACTATGAGCTATTCATAATTATCAAATAAAGTGCCACATTTTTTATCACATATATATATATGTTCTAAAATTTTATAGAATTGTTTGCAACGTTTCTATTTTATCTTTAAGGCTTTAAAAAAATTAAATTAAATTTTTATGCTGAATTTCGAATTAAAATTACACTTTCTAGCAAACGATGGAATTAAACAATGGTAATGTAATCAGGAATGATACAACTGTTGCAGCAATTACTATTCTAACATCATCAATTCCGGATGTGTTAAAAGAATTAACAATTGAACCAAGTTGCTATGTTATTGATACGGATCATTTGGTTGAACGTTTATGGCTTGTAGCAGTTCTTGGTTCAACACTTAGCACTATCAGTATTGTTGAAAATGCTTTCCTATTTATGATTTTTATCACCAGTAAACAGCATCGTCGTAGTCATTCGCTATATTTATTGCTTCTTGCATTTACTGATATATTCATTAGTTTAACTTACATACTGATAATGTCTGTTAAAGTACTCTATCAATACAATGAATGGATTTTCATGAAAAAAATCTGGTAGGTTTTTCATTTTAACTAAGAAAGCTAAAGGAAAAAGAATAAAAGTTATTTTTGGATCATTCTTCAGGGAATACAAAAACTTATCTCTTCCATAAGAGAAAGACAAAGTGAGAGAGAGAGGAAGAAAGAGGTGAAAAGATGTTCTAATTTACAAATTATAAAATAATTATTTCAGGATAGCATATGTAGTACCAATGATGACAATGTCGCATGTTGCTATAACCGCCTCATCCTTTCTTATCGTTTTCGCTACCATAGAAAGATTCTGTATCACCGTTTCGAGTCATTATGTCGAATTTTTGCAGAATAATCGTTGCTATATTGCTTTGATTGCTGTAATAATTGGTGTAGTCACTAAGGGTACATTAATACTTGAACTTAAGGTTGATTTATGAATATATATATATATATTTTTGATATATGAAATAGAATTATTCTATTGCAATTTCAATAGACCATATTTACAAATGAAAAATAGCCTAAAAAGAACAATTATAGATTAGAGATTCTAATTCGACAATCAGATTTTTATGGCAGAAAAATTTTCTTTCAATCCATTATTTTATATAACTATCCCAATTTTTCTTCATCCGTTATTTCTAAATTAAACTTCTTCACTTTAATTCACAAATAATATCGTTTCAAAGCTTCTTAGACACATCAATCATTTTTTCCATCTAAGTTTAATCTACAAATGGAGTATATTAACTCTCTTACTCCTGAAATTATATGCTAGTATAATTAATCACCTATCATTTATCACTTCATCTATCTCTATCAGTGAAATTTGCAGCCAATTCATGATTTGAGTTGTATTGGGACACTTAATGAATATCGATTAGAGATAACAGCATTGGTGATTCACAATAAACATTATAAACTATTCCGTTTTTGGTTCCGAAATATTGTTACTATTCTATTTCCGTTTTTCACATTATTGTTCCTAAATGTTCGAATTGTCAATGAACATAGGAAAAATTTTCTCGTCGGAAAGTATAATATGGAATCAGCGATTGCTAAAGAGCGAAAAGTTTGTTGAAATTTTAAATTTCTAGAAAAGAAAAATTGATATGAAATAAAATTCACATTAATATATTAAAAACATTTCATTACAATGAATGATTAATCATTCATATTAAATTAATTTCAAAAAATCTTTACTACATAATTATTTCTGTATTAATTATATATGGCGGCATTTTACAATAATTCATTTTAGCCTTTAATTTTATTTAAAATCAAAAAAGATATTTTTTAGATATTTTTATAAGTGAGATTGAATTGATAAAGAGTGAATAGAGAGATGATATTATCAATTTGATTATTAATTTCATACATGCTTGACTTTATCACTAATATTCGGAAAATATTTCAGGCTCGAATTCGAGCAGCTACACGAACTTTAATGCTTGTTGTATGCACTTATCTTCTGGCAAATATGCTTAGTGTAATTATAACAATTTGGGAGCACACCGATGAAACATCACTCTTTAGCAAGTAAAATATCATCTATAAATAATATTTCAACAAAGAAAGAAAAACTTGATTAGAAATTCAGTTCAACTATCATAGTATTAAATTTGCTAAATCAAATTCTAATTTCTTAACTATTTCCATTTAGTATTGCAATATTATTCTACTGAGGAAATTTATGTTTATCAAATGGTAATATCGTTGTTGCATGATACTCATTTTGTCACTTAAATATCAATATTTTCGATTAATTGTTAAATTAAATTCTTCTGAGTTTAAAATTATTGCTATTGTAGTAGAAGAATAGTTTTATAATTAAAGAATTAATTAATAATAATTTTAATATACTAACTATGAAACATTTTATTTTCAGCTTCTTGGATTTCTATATCTTCAGCGTTGATGCAGTATCATTATTAACCATTGTAGCATGTGTTTTACGGTTACCCATCTATGCAAGTTGTCAACCAGCGCTTCGTGCTGAAATGATTTATTTTGCAAAAGCATACTGTAGGAGGCACGAAGATATGTAAATGAAGCATCACTTATCGATCATAATGGTACTTACTATTAATGAAAGAAACACCATCCAATGAATAAAAACAAAGAAAACAGAAAGTAACGATAAACGGAAATATTCATCGTTGAATTAGAAATAACCTAAATTGATAGCTAATTAATTGAAATTTGGAAATTTTGATTTTTAAAAAAGATTGAAATGGGCAAAACTATCATCACTCCATAATGTGCCATCATCTATTCTTTGTTATTTTCATTTCTTTTATTTTAACAGCTCATATTATACTAATTAAGCGCTCATTGCTATAATGCGCTCGTTTATCAAAAAATTTTTGCAGTACATATAAATCAGGGTATTTAATTTCAATTGATAAAATAACTTACAAATAAAAATATCTTGATTTCATAGCTGTCTGAAACACATATTCATCTCTTCCAGTTTATAATCATTTTATCTTAATTATTTTTAAAGAAAGTTTTTTTGTTATGAATCAAAGATTAAAACATTAACATATTATCATAGCATCAAAGATATTCATCCTCAGAAATTTCAATTAATATTTTAAAGTAATTTGATCACATCATGAAAATTTAATTGACAGTGATTTTAATTGACAGTGACTTATCATAGTGCCGTCATGATACTATGATGATAATTGTGACATGGCTGAGATAGTATGATAAAAAAATGATAATGATAGCATTTTTTTTTTAGCACAACAAATTTTAAGTGAAGATTTCTACTAAAGCTGAAAGATATCTAGGAAAATGCTCTATTCAATATATGTTGGTATACCGAATGCAGTAGAAATAAATGCATTACGGATACGGTAATACTTTTGATTATTGCATATATTTCTTTACAGAAGTTAAAATTTGATCATTTTGCTGATATATTCTTTTTTCAAAATATGATAAATGTTGATTCTGTTGAAGTTCGATAATGCAAATAATAAATTGTCTTTTTTGATTAATAGTTTTTGTAAGTAATACTATTTCAATTATTTATAGTTACTGTCATTTAAATGCTTATTTTAAACGCAAAACGACAAAACATTAAATAAATAAATTTCTTTATGAAAAATGTTGCCAATTAATTTGCTTTAATCGATAACAATTAATTACATCTTACTGAAACAATATTATGTTTAATTGAACACATAATGATAAGACATAATTTAAATATCATTTCATATCAATATTTTTGATTAAAAAAATTTTCGTAACAAATAGTTTGGCAAAAAAATTTTGCGATCGCTTTTTTTTCAATTCAATTTTATCCTAAAACTATCATCTTTACCTATGCCAAATTAGTTTATTTTAAACAACATAAACTTTTAAGCAAAAAAAAGTGAAAAAAAGCAGTGACATTGATAGGTCATCAAATCAAGTAGAGTGCAAGAAGAGTATTATCACAATATAACTGCGATTTCTGCATGGTTCAATTTGCAAGTAAAATTGAAAACACTTAAGTTCGATAAGGCTAAGTCTTCAAGTGGTTCATCATAAATTGATATGAAGAAATTTTTTCATAAAATAAGCCTTCAATTATATAAAAGCATTTATCTGTAATAATAGGTGCATTCTAATAATTTTAATTCGAACTAAATTATTCTGCAACGAATGTTACAAATACTTCAAAAGAAAAACAGGAATAAGGTGTTAAATGAAAAATTATTTCATTTTTAATTGTTAAATAAATATAATTAATTATTAATGGAAAAAATTTATTTTACCATAAAATGCATTCAGTCATTTATTTATAAATATGTTTGGAAATTTTTATCTCGGGGGAAGAAATTATCCGATATACTGCGCTAAGTATGACTTGTTGGATATTTGCAGCAAATTATTTGTAGAGAAAAACAAAAATTTGATAATGCACACAAAATATTCAACATGAAATTTAAAAGGCTGTCATGAAACAAATGAATTCTAATTTAATAAAAACAAAATATTCAACATGAGATTTAATAGGCTTTCATGAAACAAAAGAATCGTTATTTAATGAAAATTTAATTATCAACATAATATTAGCATAAAAGAAAATGCACAAAAAGGTTATAAGCTTATCAAAATTTTGTTATGAAAATAATTTTAGGAATTTTACTAACCAAAATAATAGTTATTTTTTCTATACATACAATGTTTAAACTAAAGAAAATGATAATAATTTATCGATGTAAATTTGTCATAAAATTCTCATATGACTCATTAATTCATTTGTTAATGTTGACAAATAGCATTATCGATTTTTATTTTTAGAAAACAAACAATAAAATTAGTTCGTATGTTTATTTTTCCCATTACTTCTATCCATGTCAAATTTAAATTATCATATGCATCATTAAATTTTATCATTATGTTTTCCGAAATATAAAAATGATTATTGCATAATTTAATTTGCATATTTGAATAAGTGCCGAAAGAAATTCAATATATCAATGAATATTTATTGAATTCATCTGATAGTAAAATATGATTTAGAAAAACTGATTTTCTTTTTTTGCTGTAAATAAGAAATATCGCTTATTTGATAGTTGTCAAAAGTTTTAGAAAAGAGAGCTGCCACAGCGATGAAATAATTTTAGCAATAGAAGAAATTGGTTTTAGTGAAATAAGCTTTCCGATTTCTTAGCTTCAAATAATGATCGATATCGTCAAGCTTAAGTATTATTAAAATGTTGTTTACCATATGAACATAATTTGATTATATTGCAAAAAAATCAATGAAATGTATTTACGATTGATTGAAAATTTATTTGATGAAACTTTCAAATGAACAAACTGTCTGCGAACAAATTTTCCGGTTTTAGGATAAAGGAAATGTTTGTCGAATGTTTTTGAATGCTTCTGTGCTGTCATAAAAGCTGCTGGTAATCTTTCCTAAGGTTTCTTTCCAACTATACTAATGATGCAATAAGTAATTTGGATAAATTATGTTATAAGTTCAATCATATGTTTGCAAATAATTTTGAATGTTTTTTTAATTTGTAGAAACTTTCATAGAAGTTGTAAGAAAGAAATAAAAGAATGAAAATATGGTTAATTAAAACTTTTCGATTTATAGTAAGTAACATTTTGTTTTACTTCTACTCTTCTGTGCTGTCGTAAAAGCTTTTCTTAACTTTTTATAAAGATAGCTTTTTTTTTTTGTCTTATACCACGAAAAGAAATAATAAGCTTGTTTATCGGAATAAATTTAATAATGATTGCCGACTTCGAAAATTTTCAAATGCAGCGTAAATTTTTGAATCAAATTTTTTGCTGATAAATAATCCGATCTGAGATGATAGATAGAATTTGGGAAGCTATTAATAAAATTCATAACAGATAATTTCATTTTCTATCTTTATTGGAGTGTCGAAATTTTGTTGTTAAAAACTTAAAGAAACCCTTAGATTATAAAATGAAATTACCGAATCAGATGCAGAAGAACTGCTTTCCATTAGGCAAGCAACATACTGCAAAAGGAATTGGAAAAGTTAATAACATTTAATATCATAACTTCATTAACATTTTTAATAAAATAAAAGGATAATCAGCATTTGCCAACTAATTATAGTATACCTTGTCAAATTAATCTATTAATTAGTTTAATTTTATCAGACTGCAAAATAGTTGATTAATTGTAAAATGGGATGCTGTTGATTCATCGATGATTAAATAAATACTATCAAAGTGATATTAAATATTTACCTTTTCCCACATATGTTTTTCCATAATATAACGCCAAAATTTCAGCTTTTTTTCAATGGCTTCATACCTGCTCTTGCTAAATTTATTCCTCTCTAATAATAGTATTCTGAATTTGATTTGCAAAGATAATTAATTTTTGGTGAAAATTTTTAACTTCTTCTGCACCATAAGAAATTTCAATTTCACATTTACCTTGTCTTTGTTTTTTAATTTATTAACTTTTTTCCTAAATTATAAATTAAATAAAATCTTAGAATAATAACAAACAAATTAATCAATTTGTCATTCTTATCGAATGGATATGAAACAAAACGCGTATACTCTTTGTGAACAAATGCTTTTGTGCAACATTTTCTATTCTAATTAATTTGCATATTTATGCAAATTTCATCACAATCTTTTAAGAAGTGTAGTCTTCGTTGTGTTTCTGATAAAATACCTTTTTAAAATATGGATTATTGCCAAAAAAAATATTTTCTTTCATCTTCCGTATAAGTTGGGAAAATAACTGCGGTCTTCCTAGAATGTTACGTTGCAAGTGAATACAATCCACTTGGAACATAACATTCTTCACTTATTAAATTCATGAAAAATAATAGTTGAAATTTCAACTGATGGATAATTTAACCGATTAGGTCTTTTAACACAAACTTATCAGCAAAGACTTGTTTATCCTTACGAATATATGGAACGAAAGTGATCATCTGTTGATATCGTTATATTGAAAGGACTTGCTTGGTGATATTATTCATAATTCAATCAATAATGATATAATTTATTATTTAGTATTTATAGAGTCAATAAGAAACTGAATTATATTATTTTGGCCTAATTCAACTATATAATAATTTGTAGAAGCTATTAAGATTATTTTTAAATCTCTTCTCTCCCATGATAAATGCGTTCTTACGTTGTTTGTCTTTGCTGGGTACTTCTTGCTGGGAGAAGAAGATTAGTTTAAACTCAACTTTGACAATCGTAAAACTCTTTAAAAAATAATCCTATATGGCTAATATAAAATTATCAGCTTCATATTCACATACTTTGCTTTAATGGAATAAATCTTTAAAATGAAAAAAAAGTAGTTCTACAACGTTGAAGAAATTATTTGATAATTAAAATATCGATTATGTAATGTACAATTACAGATAGCCAAAAAGCAATCGAATTTGATTGATCCACCGATTAGTTGAATAGAATATTCTGTAGGTTAGTATATTGATCAACCATAAGTTAAAGCAATCACTAGTAATTAAATGATTGAGTAAAATAATTAAATTTACTATCTACCTGATCATTTTTAAGAAGCTGATAAATCTATTGTTATCTAATTTTAATCTTCTTGATAAATAATAAAAATGATGGGTATATTTATCAAAAATCATGTCTTGTGATTTGTTGAATTAACACACAGCATTGTTTACACCAAAACTAAATGCAATAAATTAAAATTTTAAAATGTAAACATTAACAAATCAAACTTATAATCAGAAAAGAAGAAAAATCAAGCAGTGTGTGAATGAATTTGTAAATTTTAATGAAAATGACAGTAACTGTCAATAAAAAAGAATTGAATTGAATTTTAGAGATCAGAAAGTTTCATCATTAATGAGCTAAATTTAAATTCATGATAACAATCAGTTCATCTCTTAAATTAAGCAGAAGATTCATTAGCAAATGAAAATGTCGAATATCGATTATATCTTAAGTGATTACAATAATTTATTGATTTCTTGATTGATCGCTTAATCAGAAAAAAGATCATTAAGATCATAAAAATAAATTGTGAATGCTTTTTACAGTAAAATCACAAATGAAGTATTATTTCATATCGGAAATTAATAATTAATTCATCCACTATTTCAATATATTATTATCATTTTATGCTTTAAAATTTTAATTCATTGCAGAAAGCATTTTATCGAATAGTTTCTGCAATAAAAATTATATTCTTTTTTTGAAATGGATTATGTATTATTTTATTGAAACAAAAGGAATGATTTAAATCGAACTATTCTATTTATATTATTTTATTTTAGCATTTTTTTTAAGAAACATAAACCAATTCTGAAATCAATAACATTTCTCTTTTAAAATCTTTAAATTAAACTTATAAAATTTATTGAAAATTTGTTGAACGAAATAAATTCTAACAAATCATTTTATCATTCGGCGGATATTTAGGGATTTTTCAATTTAGGCAACTATTCAAATATTTCCAATAATTTCGCAAAACTGAAAATATTTTTGTTTTCAGTTTTTTTGTATAATTTACGGAAAAGAAATAATAATTTTTGTTTTCCTTTTCTTTGTATAATTTACCGATAGACGGAAAGAAAAACAATTAATTCCTATAATTTCGTAAAACTGAAAATATTTTTGTTTTCCATTTTCCTTTGTATAATTTACCGATTAGGCGAAAAGAGAATTAATTAAAACAGATAAAATTAACGATAAGAAATATTTTATTTATGAATTTTTTAGAAATTAAGAGCTATCCAAAAATTTCCTTTCTAATCAATTAATTACAAAAAAGAAAAAATGCAAAAATAATGACATTAAGAATGGTTATTCTGTGCAGTGTAATTAGAGGAATGAAATTTTAAAACAAAAGATATTCCCGAGGATAATCTGAGAGTTACTAAAATGTTTTCATTTCTTCACAATAATTCGGATTAATAAAAGAATCGATGATTTAGAAGAAAGTTTTATAGCATTTGTTAAAATTGATAGAAACAACGAATCAAAGCAAACGGAATAAATCTTAAAGAAATTGGAAACAGTACAGATCATTAATGCAGAAAAAACGACATGAATGGAACAAGGAAAGAAATTACATCGATGATAAAAGACGCTAAAACTAAATATTCCAGTATTTATAATTTACTGATAAAAGATAAGATATGAAATGAACACTTCCGATCTGAACATAAATATGATTAAAATTTTGCAGGATTTTTATAATATTAGAAAACAAAAAGCTAATTAAAAGAGTTATATGAAATCAGGAAACTTAGAGAGTAACTTAAAGACTTATATGAAATTAGGAAAACTAATTTCTTCATGAATTTTTTTATCTTAATACTTGCCTTTCATTAAACATTCGCATTTCAAACATATCATTGCTCTCATATCAAAGACATTTATGTTGAAATCCTCTATCTTAATTAATTTCATATTTAATTACTCAAAGCATATTCTGTCAGCACAATCTGTTTTTATTTTAAATATCCATTTTAATGCATTATAATAGGGACAAATTTCATATCTCTCCAATTGATATTTGTTAAAAAAATCGTTCCTCGAATTTCCTGAGATTTCTTCAAGATATTTTGTGATTCCTCCGGTTTGAATTTATACGTTGTGCTGATTCAACATTTTTCGTAATAACATAGAATAATATTCTAGAATTACGGTTAATTCAGCTAAATACTAACATGGAATTTGGAATTTGTTCATGACAGTTTTTGCTTTTCTTTTTTGATTGAATTGGAAAAGGCTTATAAAACATAAAGTAATTATTGAGAGAAGCGCTTTAAGAAGAAGAATATGCGCTAAAGTATCTCTGAAATATTTCATAATACAAAGTTTAATTGCTTAATAAAGTTTTAGTTTTACATTTCATTTTTAATATAAATATAATCGCATGACTAATTCATATGCAATTTTTTCACGATAAAAATCTTCCATTAGAATTCAAAATTAGGCGAAGAAATTATTATAAAAAGTGATTGCAATAAAATATAAATTTATTTGATAATTTTATTTATTACAAATTAGTTGTAATTGTCAATTTAATTTTGATTTAAATGTTTATTTGATAGTGACAGCACAAATATTTCCGATCAATATTTCATTTAATTTTAAAGGTAATATATTATTTAATAATTTCAACTATATAATTACTAATTTTCTAATGTTTATAATGCGAATACAAAAAGTTGCTTACATATATTTCAGATGATATTTATCGTTCTCTTCTACGATAAAACAATATCAGGCGCTATTTTCTCTTTATTTAATTATATCTAATTCATCTCTAAAACTTCACTTTTTTATATATTATCAAATAATTTCGCATATACTGTAAGATCAAAAAGCCAATTGATAAATTATCATAATAGTATCTATCAGAATAAAATAATCGTCCTGTGTGATTGTTAGAAATTACTGAAATCGAAATTGAAATTTTCTAATAAAACAATTTCAAATTTATTAGGCAATAAATTAAATGCTACGAATACTTATCGAAATAGCGTATTTTATTGCAAAAGCAATTTTACCAACAGAAATAATTATGTTTGGATTAATCATTCAATGTTGTTCAACTAAAAAAAGTAATCTTATCATTTATAACTCGAATATGTAATTAAGAATTCAAAAAATCTGTAATTAAAAACTTAAAAAATCGAATATGTAATTAAGAATCTGTTTCAGAATCTAATACTGTATCGATTCTTGTATAATGTTGTTCAATCAGTCTTCCACATTTAATGCTAAAGTTTTCCCAATTTAAAATTATGATTACTTGCAGCTGTCAATTTTTATCAAGATGGAAGGCAACGAACTAGAAAATATGAAACAGAATCTCCAGCTCGAAAAGAAGCAGCCTGTAAGTTAATGTTTAATTGTTCGTTAAAACTATATTTTGTAATAGTTTGTGATTATATATGATGATTATGAAAATGACGAAAAGTGAGAGAAACGATTTTTTCTTAGAAATCATTTTCATTCGAAAATCAAATTAAAAAGTAGAATTTTAAATTTGAATTTTAATTAATACCTTTTATTTAGTACTAGAAAAGCTTTGTTTTTCAATTGAAAGTTTTTTTAATTAATCATTAAAATTCTAGCTTTTCGTCTTGATAAAATATTCAAAGCGAGTGGAAGAAATTTAAAAGCTAAAAATCTCGCTGTCAATAATACTGTAAGTATCACTTTTTAATCTAATTCTTAATTTACGGTAGTGTTCTATGAAACTTTGTGCAACAACAAAAATTCTGAAATTACAAGAAGAAAGTTGAAGAAAAAAATTAAAAGTAACTTAAGCATTTTTTCTTAGGTATGAAAATATTTTGTTTCATTTTATATTTCCATAAAAAAAGACGATAACTTGTAAAACGAACAGAAAGCGAATATTAAACAAATATTTCCATTAGCACAACAATTACCACAGATTTTTTTAATATTTTCCCTATGCCTAAAATTTGCCCACTTGTTCTATTAATAAGGTTGAAGTTCAATTTTTTGAAATGAACCAATTCTCATTTTGCTATTTTCTGTTTTATCACTCTCATTTTGTAAAAATCCGTATAATTAAGGAGGATTATACTTTTGTCTTTCTGAAGAGACTTCATGATATCTTTTTTTCTTTTGACAAAAAGATAAAGTAATAATGGAGGAGAAATTAAACTTTTCAACCTTTCTATCCCTCGTCACTTAGGCCTATTATTATGTATTTAGGATAGTTAGTAAGTTGGAGCTAGAAATAGTCTCTAATTTAGGATTGAAAAAGACTTGAAATAACAAATTACGAAATACCCTGTAAGTTCAAACTGAAAGGTTATATGATCCCCTAGATGAAATCTTTATGTAATATTTTATAATTATACGTGAAAAATAACAAAATGTTGAATGGAAGTAAATGAAACAAAAATTTTAGAAAGATGGAAATAAAAATAGCTTTAATCATTTTGACAATTTAAATATTTTAAGGATTTATTTTACCCTTCATAGTCTTCGTCCTTCATAGATCCTTCGCCAAAGAAATATTATTTAATCGATTACAATTGATATAATAGGTAGTTCATAAAATTAACCTTGCTAGGATCATGTCAATTGGACATAAGAAATCAATAATAAAGTCAATCAGTTTTAGAATTAAGCAATTGCTTAAACCGTGGATAATTTTCAAGATTCTAGTTCAATAAATATTGAAATAGCATATTTCAACTTTTTTTAGTAAATTATTGCATGGAATTTCTTTGCGGAAAATATGAATAATTTATCAAACTTTTCTAAGCTTTTGATTCTCATTTGAAATGAAAATATTTAGCCATTTCTTCTCTTTTGTCTTTAAATAAAATTGGAAAAAAGTTAAAAGAAACTGACAGACAGACATAAGAAATTAATAAAAACAGAAAATGAAAGTAAAAAAAATATTTCCAAAATTTATTTATTTCAAAAACAACGATTATAAATTGTAAAGAATATTCAGGGAAAAGATGATGAATCGATGATGGAAATAATACAAAACGAAAATAAGGAAATGAAAAATGAGGATAAAATGAAACCTAAAATAAATGGCCTAATGCTAATGCAACCTGAAAAGAATCTGAAAGTAGTTGATTTAATGTGGATGGAATCTAAACAACAAAAGATTACAAAGAAATCTTATGGTTATGATAGTATGCAAGGGTCAATGAAGTGTAGCGATTTGAAACAAAAAAGCGCAAAGAATTCTGAATCCTTTTTTGCATTACCTACAACATCTTTTAAAGAATCCAATGAATTGTTGGACAAAAATATTCAACGAATGCTAGATGTCGAGAATACACCTCCTGATGAAGAGCAAACAGCAACAGATCTTCCAGAAATTCTATTAGAGAAAAATGATAATCATAAAGCAAAAAAAGGTGATTCAGAAGATAGCCATTCAACATCTGAAACTAACAGATCAGAAACTGGTGATACGGAAGAAAGTTTTTTGTAAATGTTTCCAATTGTTATGTTGAAAAAAAGAAGAAAAAGAATTTGACAATGATAAAATAAATGTTTAATTTTTGACAATAAGAATGCTTGAATTCTTCAATCGTTATCATCAAACATTGCAAATAACCTTTTGAAAAGTTTGCAAAAATGTTTTTACCTTTTTAAATATTAGCATATGTTTATTTCGAACAATTATAACTCTCTCATGTAATTAAGATTATTATTTCATTACTTGTTTAGCTTACATGTAAGCATTTCTGTTACTACGAATGCAAACGATACAATTTATTTTATGATTGGAATTTTGAAACTTGAAAATTTCATTTCATTAAAGACAACATTGGCTTTTTTTTCTTTGTATTCCTAAAGCGAATGTTAAGGAATTCGTCTGAGAGTATTCTTCGAGAATTCCGGGAAAATATATTGTTGATTTGTGGAATAGAAGAGAAATTTATAAATTTCAAGTTTCATAATTCTCTAATAAAACAAAAGAAGAAAGCATATTTAGAAAAAAAGAAAATAGAAAGACTTTTTTAAAAGATAATTTCAGCTTAAAAAAATTTTACTAACTTTTCAAAATGTTGCATTTTTCCTTTCGAACAATAAAAAGATTAATTGAAACTTGATTGTTGGAAGCATAGAATTACTTTTTGGTGTGTTTCATTTTGCTCTCGGGAAGTACCCGAACGGATTTCCTGTATCAAATGATCATTTGCTCTAATTCTAATTGATACTTCGTAAGAAGAACCGATCGATTCATCCAGAAATCAATAAAAAGAGGGCGAAATCAAGGAAATATTTCAAATAAGCAAATTTTGGTTTGCAAAAATTTCCTAAAAATATGCAAATTTTCGGCGAAATGATATAAATTCAAAAATTCTCAATCAGAATTCAATTTCATCTCAATTCATTTTCCAGTGATTGCAAAAGTTCGTTTGGTGTGTTGGTTAATTAATTTTTCTCTTCGAGAAGTTAGAAGCGATATATTTCAGGGGTTTTGAATTTTCAATATCAGTCAAATGTGTCATTTTTGTTCTTCTGGGAAATCACATATTTCTTTTCGAGTAGTAGGAAGATTGATTAAAACTTGATTATTGGACAGCGTAGAAGCTTTATTCGAATTTCACAGTTTTTCGGCAATAATTTTGCAATAAATCTATTTCCAACTTTTTTTGACATTTAGGACTCTTTTTTTAAATAAAATATTAAACTTTCAAAAAACAAATTTTTACTTTTTTTCTTCTGAAAAAGTCTTCAAAAGTCGCTTTTTCTTTGTTTTCTTTGTTTTACGGAGAAATTGAAATTTCCAAAATATATCATAACAATGCTACTGGCAAGAAAGTGCAACTCAGATTGATTATTGCCAACCTAAATTGCATATAAAGTTTAGAAAATTTTCGAACTTCATCGCATAATAAAAAAGGATTGATATTATAACATCATTTTAATGAAAGTTTCCTTCAGCACTTTTAATTCGTTTGAATTGGAAAAATAATCAGAATGAGTAGAACTGCAGGAAAAATAAAAGCTATGAAGTCAAACTAGGCTAACATTGCTAAATTCGGCTAACTATTAGCCAAGAATTGTTATCACTTTCATAAGTAAGTGAAGACATTATTAAAAGGAATGGATTGTAGCAGATAACTATCACGGCTTATCATACTTTGTGATGATCGATAGACTGTTAGATTAAATTGCTAATGTTATCCAATTGCGCCACTTTAAGCTTACTTTCAACAATTCAATTATTATCGGTTTTCAAATTTCACTATTGTAAATTTTAATTAAATCTATTCTAAATGTTAGGTGCAGTAGTACCATTTTCTGTTTCTCAATCTTCATCTGACATTTCTATCATTTCTTTTATCAGAAAAATAGCGATATTCGACACAATTACCTTATTTCATTTTTCCTTTGTGATAAAATGAAATTTCGTAAAATATGCAAATTGAAGACCATATGAACTTAATTACAATTGTGGCAATCGTAGCATTGCTCAGCAAGCGATTGATACGATGTGACGAATGCAATACGGATTTACTTCAACTCGTTAGCTTTCTATTTTTTGTTAAGTCTATTAATCTAATGGTATTGTTCTTCTTGAACAATATTCTCTAAAAATAAAAGTAACTTTTTTATTGTTATTATTATCATTGTTATTTCCATCATTACTATTGTTATTATTATTGTTATTATTGTTATTACTATTATAATTGTCTATTTATTATTATTTATTTATTATTACTATCATTAATATTACTATTTATTTACTATTATTATTTATTTATTTACTTATTATTATCATTATTATTATTATCCCATTATTTCTTTTGTTAAAATTGCAGAAATTCGAAGTTATATTTCTCATTTTCAACTAACTAAACATTTTTCGCTGCAGGCTTTTCCGGATCCGGATTATGTGATATATGGATTACGTGAAGATAAAAATATGCTTATTTTACCGAGTGATATTGCAAGTAATAGATCAGTGTAAGCACGTTTTTCAATCTATTCAGAGTTAAATCCTTATTTTCTAAAATTTAAAATAACTTAATCCCAAACAGTAAAAGGTAAAAAGGTTTCACTTTATAATTGGTATCAGTCATTTAGGAAAATACAAAGATAAAGAAATAAAAGTTAAAGTTGTAAAAGAGAATAAGAATAATTTAGATGTTATTAATTTTGAAAGTTTCTTCCTTAAACTTATGAAGACGATTCCTCTATTTTTCTCATTTTTGCCAGCTTACAATTTTCTTCTTAGTGTTATATCGTGGAATTATTAGGGGACAGTCTTATTTATTATCTTTGAAAGAAATTATCCTTAGTAGATAAGCTAATCGAGAATAGTAGTAGTATGCGAATTTCTTAACAATTTGTAAGCTACTTACTAATCTTATAAGTTACTTTAACAATCTTAATACTGCTAATCTTATAAGTTACTTTAACAAGCAATTTTATGTATTGTTAATAGCAAATTAAAATCGTTGCTTGTAAAATTGTTAAAATTTAAAGTATGATGGGATTAAAAGATTTGTTAGACGGTGGAATTTCTACTAAATCAGAAGAGGACAATGACCATTTTTATGTAAGTAACCTTTGAACCATTTTAATATCATTTCATTTTCTCGACCATTATTTCTATATTATATGATCTTAAGATATAAAGGAAGTGGTAAATTTCATCGAATGCTTTCGAATAACAGCAAGGAATAAATAAATAATATAAAATATTGTCTTTGATGCTTTTTTGAATTTACCAGATATTATTATTCAAATTTAGCTTCAAATCAAATATGTTGAATCATACATGAAACACACTCTTAAACTTGCTTCAGTGAATATCTGCCTCTAACGATCTACACATTAAGGGTGGGAAAAGGATGATGAAAAAGGTTGAAAGTTGTGCGCCAAATATTAAATACAAATATATTCTTATCAATAAAGAAAAATAATCAATTAAAACTATTTTTGACATTATTAAAATTTTTTATCTCTCAGGAATAAGTACCGCGATTTCTAGGATTGATCCTATTGTTTCATTTTCAAATTTAACAATGTTGTATTAGTTTTCTCAAAATAAATAATTAATAATTAAAGTTCTTTTTTTTCTTCCAGGCGATATTAATTGAAGTACAGGGCTTATTACAATTTATAACTCTCTGGCAAGAAAAAGCTCCCAGTGCGGGTAAATTATATTCGCTTACACGTCTCTCATATTTCGGAGCGTTTCGATTGGCATTCACACCAACACCAACTAAAATTATACATGAAACAAAATTGATAACATTGATGTATTTCTCTGATTTGAGCCATCAACAATTCCATTTTAAAACAACTCGTGATAGCCGACTTTTTCTACAGCAAATAGGTGATTTTGACGGACAATATGAAATTGTTTTTGGGGTAAGTTTTATTGTTAATTTTATTCAAAAAGAAATTCACACATCTAAACGATCGTTATTTATTTAGGGAAGAAATGATGTTATATAGCATATATTCGTTCATTTCAAAAAAGAAATGAATTTTTACAAACATTTAAGGTATAAGTAAGATAGGCAAGATTCCTTGCCCTAATTTAATTCCTAAAAAATTCGAATAAAATTATATTCTTCTATAAATTCATTGAACAGAATATCATCTCTAATGGAGCTCTCATGAATCATACCTATTCGCTCTAATGAAATTATATCAAAAATTTAGCAACACTAAAATATATCAACAAAAGTCTAAATGTTTGGGTTTAAAAAAGAAATCTTAGATTTCTCAAAATTTTTCCAAATCATACTCTCAAATTTTAATTGGCAGTATAATTAATTATTCCTGTCCTCATTTCCTTAATGATCTATTTGGCATTTGGAAATTCATCGATCAGTGTTGCTATTATAGAAAGCATCGATTAATTGAGAAACAAATCCGTCTACTTCTTTACTTTACCTTTCCTCTAATCTTCACGCTTCTATATCGCCGATCAATTTCATTCATTAAATTTTAATTACAAATTTATTTATGCAACAGATAGCATTCTTTCACTCATTTCGTTATTGCAATCAGCTTTATTACAATAATCACGTTATCATAAAGTTTTAAATTATTTCAAGCACCTGTTTCTATTGCAGAAAACTGCAGAAAAATAACGAGATGAAAATTTAAGAAGGAGAAAAAAAACCATTTATATTCTCCTAACAGCCGAAATTTTCATCTTTTTCATTTTTTAAAATTTGAAATTATCCTTTTGTGTGGTAAATTTAAACAGTATGGTATTCTCAATCATTTATTTACTATTTACTAATAAATTATTAACAGAAAAATTAATTACTGAAAGTGTCGAATCTTCCATTTAATTATCTTATCTATTATTTTTGCTTAATTCATATTTGTTAACTTAATTCATATTTTTGCTTAATTCACTATATTCATATTTCCGACGATACGTAATCTCTCTATCAAAACAATAATTTTAAATATCGTAATATAAAATTGAATAATTTTTGATTTCAAATTCATTAATAAGCTAAATGAATTATTCTGTGTTAGAATGAAAGAGTGAATTTCAAACAATAAAATTTTCATTAAAAATTTTCTTTAATAAATAATCTATTTTAGAGGATAGGAATGAAATTGTTCATTGATAAAATCTCTAAAAATTCCGATCCATTTATTGAACCAACTACTAATATTATGGCTGTTAGTAACGAAACAACTAAATGGTAAATTAAAATTTCTTATATCAAATGCTTTCATTCATTATTATTAATTATACAATTAATAATGCATATTATGTTGCAGTTAACTAATACAAAATTATGATAAGAAAATTTTGAATTTATTATTATTCAAATATAAATAGGCTTGCAAGACGACAGAATTCAAAGAAACCAAGAATCGATTGCATCGTTGAAATAAGTAGTAAATATGGGCTTGGTATTTTGTATAGTCGTAAAAATCTTGTCAGTGCTTATTATAAAATGGGAGATTCGGCATTTGATTGTATGTCTTAATTGAATTATTGATTTATAATTTTAAAATTGAAGATTATAGTGTTAGTTGAGAAATTTAAAATACATTCTGAAAGGTATCTTTTTTAATTCATACTTTTAAAACTCATACATTATCGAGTTTTGAACTTAGTTTTGGAACAATATCACCATTACTTTCAATACTTCAATAGAGGAAGAATAGGTAAAAGGATAGTTGATAAGATAAATCACTAGTAAACTTATTTCCTGTTAATTATAAAATTTATATTAATTATATTAGATGATAGTTTATCTAAAAGCCAGAAGAAATTTACTATTTTAAGGATTGAATTTTAAATTCAAAAATGTATGAATCCTTGGAATAGTTTAATACGTAATTTGGTTACAGGTAAAGATAGAAAATGCAATGAAGAAATTAGAGATACTGACGGAAAAAGTATGTAATTTAAATATTTCATTTCTTTTTTAAATAAAATTTTGTACTGAAGAAAAACTTTCAAATTCGATTTTATAACATAAAAATTTTGAATGTGATCTGAATTAAGTTATTTGAAAGATATTTAATTTTGAAATGCAATGATATCAGTAAAATTTTATTTTTTCACTTCAGAAGATATTTGTTGGACATTTAATAAAAACAGAAATTATATATTCTAAAATGCATTTTTGTAAATTTTCAGTCCAATATTCACTTTAAATTTTCACGCCAAACTTTTACGTTAAACTTTTACGTCGAATTTTCACGTTAAATTTTTACGTCGAATTTGCAGGTTAAATTTTCGTGTTCTTTTTTTTGAAAATTTTCTTTTATTTTTGCTAAAATTATTTGTTTAAGGTTATCATGATACAGAAGTAAGTCCAATACATCAAAAGGGATCAATTTATTTGGGATTCCGAAATGGTTACTTATTTTCCTATCGCATAAATAACGAAAAGGAAAAATTCTCAGAAATATTACTTGCACTCGATCTTTCACATCGTACTCCTGAAACTAGTAAGATATATTTCTTTGTTTTTCACTGAATTATCAAACAAAAAAATCTTTCAATTATTAAATTAAAATCAATTACTAATTTTCTATAGAAGAATTTGGTAAGGATGATGAGTTACACTTGTTTTCAATCAATGGTATAGAAACAATTGCTGTAATTTGTGGTCCAACAACATATTATCAAATATATGATATGAATCCACGGTTAGTGAATTATTTTCTCTTATATTTTTTATGTTGAAAATATTTGATATTATTACTTTTTATCGTTATTGTAACCTGTTGTTATCATTGAAGTTTTTTACTTCTATATAGAAATATCTGTATTTAATTCTTAACATTATTTTTATCACCACATATTGGATGGTATGATCGAAAATTATTTGTTGAATTTCTTAATTTTAGAAAAGTAATGCTTAATTTTGCAAGAAAAAATAATGAAATTAAAAATTAGGATTAAGAAAGAGTTTCATCACTCTAAAATATTTCGATGATATTGCTGGCAAAAATTAGGAGAAGAAGAATGAAACAGCGGCAAGATAAAATAAAGATGCCTCGAATGGCTAGATAATTAATTAAATTTCATTATTTTATATTTAACTTAGAGCGCCATAGAAAGTAAGCAAAATTGAATAAATAAAATAATTTTAGGAATGGTTTCAAAACTCTCTATTTGGAAAAGAGTAATATGACTATAGTCAAGGAGCTAACGAAAAAATGCCGAAAAGTTGATTATAATGCGAAAGAAGCCAAGCTGATTTTTTTCATTGACATTTCTACGGCCTATGAATTGCAGCTAAATATTAATCGTAACGGAGAACTAAAACAATTTCCGGATCCTAAACTGGTTAGTTAGCTTTCATCATGAATCCATTCATTTGTAGGATATATATATTCCTTAAAATTTCACTTTAATAATACAACTCTAACAAACTGATTCACTTTTTCTTCCTCTGCAAACTTTTAATTGTATGAAATTTAATTAAGTAATTAAAACATAGGATAACTTGAAAATAATTTAGCAATTATTTCATTACTTTAATTATTTTATTTCAATCAAAAATTTATTTTTTAAACGAAATGACACAAAATGATTTTTCGTTGACCATTTTTTAAATGTAAATTTATTTCAAAAAAAATTCTCAGAAAATTTTTTGTGTATTAATTTACAAATGTTTCATTTCTTTAATTAAAAAAGAGCGAAAAATTGCGCCACATTGTTGCATCATTGCGCCACATTGTTGCATCATTGCGCTACACTGTTGCATCATTGCGCCACACTCCTACATTACCATAATATAATGCTGTTGCATACGAAAATATTTTTAAATTAGACATAAAATGGGTAAACAAAGAAATTAAATATTCATTTAATGCATTATCGTTACCTTTCCAGAAAGTGCGAAATTTTTCCAAGTATTACTGATCTTTTGATCTTTTAGTAACAATTAATTATCACTAATTAATTAATTATTCTTAGAATCGTTATGACAGCTATCGTGGAAACAAGATTCTATATGAAGGAATTGAAAGCCAATGGCCACTTCATCTTCGAAATGGTCGAAAATTATTTTATAATGATAGGTTTGTTTCATATATTTCTTTTATTATGATGAATTTACAAAATTTTTAAATTTGCTTGCCTTGTGATGTTTAATTAGAAATTGTTTTAATCTAATATAATTCTATCCTTTTTTGTTTTTCTTTTTTGTTTTAAATTCAATCAATTTGGCTTTTAAAAATTGTTTGTAAAAATTTTTATCCAACTGATATATTTTAAGGAGTAAAGCTATTGAGCTGAAATACAATATTATCAAGTGAGTAATCTTATCTTCTTTCTCTTGTAATTTGAAAAATATTCAATTACTAAATTTACGAAATGGTAGATAAGCAGAAAAATAGAAGAAAACAAAGATTATCGATGATTTTTATCAATTATCAATGATTATCAAATTTTATCAGTTATCAATAATTAACAATTATCAAATCGAACTTTTATCGATCATCAATAATTAACAATTATCAATGATTATCAAATTTTTATCAATTATTAACAATTATCAGTTATCAATGATATAACCAACAAAGATTTTTCTTTATAAAAAAATTACTCGCCTGATTTTCTAATCTTCCGATATTTTATCTGATTTTAAATAAAATCTATTTTATTCCGATCATTATTAAAAGCCTATCATCTGATTTTATTTCTCCTATAAAATATTAGTGGCGAATAAAATTAAAAACAAATAATTTGTTGTGATCTTACGGAATTGGTTGAAAAACGAATGAATTAATGAAGCGATTACTAAAAGATTTTAATTTTTTGCTCAAACGATAAAAATCAAAAAATTGTTTTAATTCTACTGAAATGAAATGAAATAGAAAATAGCAATGTTAAGTTGTTATCAGTATTTTCAACTGTTATCACTATTTTACTATAATTTTCTTTTTTAGATCAGCTCAGAGAACTGTTGACAGAATAAAAACATTGACTAATTATGGTAATTATGTTAAGGCGCTTTTATATTTTCCGAAGGAATACATCGAAGATGAGTATGTTATACATTTAGTTTTTCATTCGTTTCTCATTTTCACGTTTAATCAACAAAACTTCAATGAAGCCAACATTTAACAGATCAGCTCCGAGAACTATTGGTAGAATAAAAAAACATTGACTAATTACAGTAACTAATTTGAAGCTTGATACTAATTTAAACTTAATTAAAAGCCACCATTTAGCGTTTTAAAAATATGCATCTGAAATTTTGTTCAATTATCATAATAAATAAATTTAAATTGAAAATTCAATTTAATATTTCAGCTAGCAAGATATAATCATTGATAAGTAATTTTTGCTACGATTATTATCGTAATTAAGTTTAAATTAGCAACAAGCTTCTAATTAGTGTCAAATTATTAATTTAATTAAACTATTCATTGAATTCTCCTTCAGATATATGGAAGTATTTCATAAAGATTATCCGATAGCATTCTATGGAATAGTTAACTGTACCGCTTTTGTGATAATGAAACTTGTAGATTTCGATAAACTAAAATTGCAAGGAGATGGTAAATATTTTGCAATCTTTAAAAGAATATCATTTTATTAATATCATTTAAAAGAAAAAATAAACTAAAATAGAATAATTATGTTCTGATATTTTTAATAGAATTAATTCAAAAATTTTTTTGCAAGTGATAATATTTTCATGAGAAATTGATAAGATTATCATTTTTTTCATATAATCAAAAATTTCAGGATGTGATAGATCATATCATATGCGTGCAATTCTTTTGGATTCATACATGACTATTCTACGAACCGAAGATGGCATAAATGTTCAAGGAGTACGACTTAAAGTATCAATTGATCATAATGATGTTGAAAATGGAATAAAGTATTTGTTTTTCAAACATTGATCATATTTATGAAATATATTTAAAGCTTTTACAAAAAAACTTTATCATTGATGTAAATTTATGATATGATAATAATAGCATATTTATGATATGATAATAATAGCATATTTATGATATGATAATAATAATAGCATATTTATGATATGATAATAATAATAGCATAAGATGAAATAACATAAAATATTTAAATATGAAAGTAATACTTTGATATACACATTTACATATTAGATTAGCATTCATAATTTTACGATAATTTTGATAGAATCGATTTAAAAAAATTTTTCATTTTGTAATTTTTTAATTAATAAATTATATCAAACAAATGCTTTTTATTAAAATAATTAATTCTAATGAATGATCGATTTCTCTTATAAATATAATATTTTTTTAGATCTAATGGAATTGTTGCTTATATGCATAATTTAACTGATGCAGAATTTGAGCAAAGTAATTGGTTCACTATTGCACCAAATACATTTGATACCATTCATAACATTGATGACTATACGTATTATCAGTATCAACCGCGTACTAATTGCACATATCATTTTCGAAGGCGCAAAATAACAAAGAGAGCACAAAAACATATTAAAGACTATCCATTTCCCGCATTAGCGGTAAACTCATTATTTTTTTTACACATATATAATTCTTTATGAATGACGAAATGATATCATCAATTGAATATGTTGAATTTCAACATCTTAACTATTTCAGTTTTTCAGGTATCGTATAAACAATTCATGAAGGTTAGTTCATTTAAATTATTTGTTTCATTATATTTTATATTTCTACTTTTGCAATATTTTGTATTGGAAATCTTTTTTTAGGAAGAAAAAGATGTATTTTATTTGATAAAAATAAATGTTGATTTCATGTTATCTTACAATTCTTTAATTGTTAGCAAGTTTAAACAATAATTAATTTAATAATTTAGCTAAATCATTAACATATATGATTTTTTGTTATTGATGCATTATTTAACTACACTAATTAACTTATTAATAGATATTGCGAATTATTGTAATAGTAAGTAGTAAAATCTAACTGTTGCAAAATTTCGATTTTATTTTCGTGATCATATTATGGAATATTTTTTAGTATCCTTGCGATTTTGAAATGTTCTCAGCAATGTATGATGAAATAGCTCATGCAGTAGTTTATATTATGAAGAGCAAAAATAAGACTATTATGGTGACACCGAATGTGATAGTTACTGATAAGCTGAAAAATATTCAAAATGAAAAGTTTTTGTCTCATTTTATCTACTCTACAACATTTCCATATATTGTTTACAAGTAAATTATGATAATTTTTTTTGCTACTTTTCTGCTAAAAAATAATATAATCTTAATTATTGATTATACAGTAAGTGAGTTATATTGACAGCTTAAAAGGCTTTACTCTAACATAATTCAAATAGCTTGGAGATTTTTTGTAGCATTCAAAATATCGGTTGTTTTGAGTTCCAATTTTGAAAGTTTCTTAGTAAGCTTAGTTATTTAAAGTTAGATGCATTAGCATATATTGTAAATACATAATTTTCAGGGTGCCCACAGGAGATTCAATTATGAATGTCGAGAATTGCGGTCAGTAAGTGTTTTTTAAGTATGCATTGTAAATATTTGATAATTTTCAGGGATTCCGACAGAGGTTCAGTCACAACTACCGAGGGTCCTCATGTGTAAGTACAGTTCCATTCTGGTTGTTTGTTGAACAGTATAATGAATTCGTTTAATTTTACTTTAGCAATAACAATATTATGTCATCACTGAAGTTTCATCGTTTCCGAAATGAAAGGATAATAGAAATTACGTGGAAAAGATAAATTAAATTTAAATAGTATTGGAAATATATAAGCAACAAATTGTGCATGCACATTATCAAAAATATATTTTATAATCATTTAATTGTCATCGTCAAAGATTTTTGTAACATTCAAAATATTGGCAGTTATGAAATTAAATTTCATCAAAGATTTAAGAAACGTTTCATCAAAGATTTAAGAAATATAAAACAATAAATTATTATTCATTGTAATATTGCTATTAGTTTGATACGAAGGTAATAATTTTAGTGTAAAAATAACACTCGATGTTAAATTTGCTTCACTTGGTAGTTACGCCGGGAAAATTCTCTATCGAGAAAGGTAAGGATCGTTTATTTTCCTTTTTTTCTTTTGCTTTTCTTTCTCAATTAGCAAATGTTGTTTGCATGATATAATTTAATTTACAATTTAAATGATAATTTAAACTTTAACCTTTTCATGATATTTCTTTGCTTGATAGAAAACTTTTTTTTGCTAACTTTCTAGTGATGTAGTGCATATTTTGCCTTGGGATGATGAAGAAATTGAAGAATCAATGAATGATACATGGATATCTGTAACGAAAGCTCTCGCTAGAAGAGATTTTGAAAGTAATGAATCATTCAAATTTTTTATACTTTTAAAATCTGTTCAATGAATAATAATTATATAGGAGAAATATGGTATCGTAATGATGTATGAAATAGAGAACGTTGAAATAAGTCGTGCATGTTATTGCAGCATGCACGAATTACTTTTGCTCATAACATCTTCTTGCATATTTAACTGAAAGCAAATTAATACCAATGAAGTGTTAGCTTTGTCAAAAATGATTTCAGAAGTTGCATTTGGAGTAGAAAGTGAACTTATTGAAAGACCAGAACTTCGCACCCGAAAATGCAAACTTCTAAATGCGTAAGCGTTGTCTTATAAATGTTTTCGTCTTCTTTTTTGTGTTACCTTTTTTAAGATTCATTAATAACAAACAAAGAAGATTTTTGAAACTAGCAACAAATCGTCGATCTTTTAAATTGACAATATTCGGAATGAATCTAAGCGGATATTCTGAATCTCATTATCTGTTATCAAGCCCATCATTTGTTGCTGTTGAGGTGATAAATGTTCCGAGAAGTATATTCATTCTTTAGTACCAAGCGTAGTTTAAATATTTATAGGCCTTATTTCATGGCATTTGTATTGAAAATTTCTGTCCTGGATGTGCTGCTTTTATTGATTTTAATCATTCTTATTATTTATCATCGAGCTTATATTATACCGGCACGACGTCGTTATAAGATTAAAATGGGTATACTAAGGCATCGTAAAAAGCGTAAGCTACGTGATCGTGCACGTCGACGTCTTCGAAGTATGTTTAATAATAGCTCACTAAATTCACTATAAGGAATATGTTTCAAGAAATTCAAAGGTGTGACAGTGTATCTGGCGACATTTCTCAAACAATTTGTTAAAATTAGGTAAATGTCGAAGAAAAATAATTGCCAAATTTCATCTCTAGAATTGAATTTGTTACGTCGTAAACGAAAGAAGGAAATGGAAGCAAAGCGAAAAGCTCAACTTATTGCTATGAGTAAAAAGAAGAAATCATCAACATCTAGCAGCGATTTAATCACAGTAGCAGGTGAACCAAATGCTCCAATCAATTAATGTCGCAAGAGCGAATAGGATACGAAATCGCAGATCAGCGAAGATTTAATTTAAATAATTTAAAATGATTGTTTGGGTGTAGAAAGATTTGAAGTGTTTTGTCATATTTTGTCATAAAATCAAATATTTTTTTCGCCTTTTTTTTGCATTCAACAATAAACTTCTTAATTCAACTGAACTATTACAAACTGATGAATGCATACGATCATGAGGAGAGTAATTAGATCACGTTATCTAATTACATGTGCCAACATTTAAATTTTTGTGTAATTCTTAATTTTTTTTCTCAAACTTTTTCTTTAACGAATTTGGAAGAATTAAAGTTAGAACGAATTAATATGATATATGGAATTATATCATATACGATAAGACACAATAAAACATATGATGTAAATAAAACAGTGTTATGAAATACTTTGATGATGAAAAGGTTAATCTCAAAGTTCTAAAACTTTTTGAAAACAAATGTTCTATGCTCAGTGTAACAACAAAAAAGATAATATCCTGAAATTATCTTAATATCAACATATATCACTAGACTGATTAATAATCAGCTGATCGCAATTAATGAGCAGCTTGCCATGTTTAAGAATAAAATACTGAAAAATAGTTTTATCATATCTTTTTTGAAGCTACTAATTGTTGGGATATTTTCTTCATCAACAATCTCAAATATTTCCATTTATACTTTGTAAATTTGAACTTTCTTCAACCATTCTATATTTGCATATAGAAAACATTTGGATTTAAATTTGCATAAAAGTAAAATTTCTAAATTATTTTCATTTTTAACGAAAATATTTTTTTCGAACGGTTTGCTTCTTTCTATGCTTTAATAAGTATTAGTGTTTTAATGAAATTACATTTGCATAATAATTAGCTAAAGTTTTAGAGTACATCACAAATGTCATGTGATTGAATTTTCAAAATATACAAAAAGAAAAAAGAAAAATATTACCAGCTGGTAAATAGGTCATTAGTTATTATGAAATAATGCTTGCGAAGGGTTGAAATCAGAGTTGTGTTCAAAATGAATCCTGAAACCTAAGATTTCAAAATGAATTATTAAAAGTTTAGATTAATCACGAAAATAAATTCTTGTAAAAATTTTTGTTTCAATTTTAGCCAAAGAAACTTTCATCTCACAGTGATGTGATATAAAGGATATTCAGAGCAATAAATATTCATATTATATGATATGATTGCAACAGTCAATACGGTTACAACCGAAAATCAAAAAATACCAATGTCAATAAGAGACATCTGTATCTTAATTTTTTTTTGCATTAACTAAGTTTGAATATATAGATCGTTCAACAGTCAGTTCCGATTTACACTGTAGTAAATATAACCGCATTGTCGTACTATCGTAAATATAGCACTCGTTACGGTTATACCGTAATAAATATGCTCTGTGCTCTACCGGTTTAATATAGTGAACATGACGTACCGTACCGTTATTACGGTAGTATTATAGGTCTTTCTAAAACTATTTATAGTAAAAATGATATATTATATTAATTATATTTAGTTTGACTAATATATTATGGAAATATAAATGAATAATATCAAATAGAAAACCGACTAATAATATTATTTGTTCTGTGGAATCAATTTTCATCACTGATTTTTCAGCTGATGAGCATGCAAAAGCTCTTGCAAGTTTGTCACTAACACATACATATTTAATTAGTGGTGGAATGCTTTTTAGTTGCTGCATTTTACCGCTTCTTTATTTTTGGTTCTGTCATCCGTAAGTTATGCTTTTTTTCTCCCAACAACTGATAAGAAAGTTAAAGTGATATTGCAATGGTAATTTATTTTAATGACAGATAATTGCTAGAATTCAACCATGGTAGTCGATTATTTGTAAGATTTGCCTAACGTAAATAAAGCAAATTGCTTAATTACTGTAATACTTGTGAACAATGAGATTTCAGTATGATATGTAAATATTTCGCAACCATTAAAATGTCGAAAGGTAATAAATTAGAATTGGAGGAAACACAAGTAGATGAAGTAACGGAATTTGTATCTGATGAAGCACCGGATCGTGTAAATATTCGACGTGATCCACTTTTTGATGATGTAAAGATTAAGGTATATGTTTTGAGTTAATTAATTGCTTATAACATTTGCTATATAAATAAGCCATCTTTTTTTTAAAACAATAAATGAAATTTTAAGGCATTTCATCGTAGACATCATCAGCTATTAAAGCCACCACATCGACGGCAACCGCAGCAACAACAACAACAACAACAACAACATGGCGGTAAAAAGCTTTCGCCAATCAATAAAGCACCAGAAAAAGGAAAGGAAAAGAATGAAAGCGCAGGTAACGTATCGGAGGAAAAAGGTTCACATATGGCAGAAAATAATAATGTCATTCGAAGTGAGAAAGAACAGTTAAACTCAACTGAAATTACATTTTCCCATCAAACACAACTTCATTCTCTTTAACTTGATAATTTAAATTAAAAGTCTCATTTAATTTCACTTCTGCCTTTTCGCCGTTAATTCTAAGTTTCATGGATTTGAATGACAGTAAAATTTTTATTGTTTTTTTACATAAACAGAAACTGATTACTGAGCATGAAATTTTGATTGAGAAGATTCAAGCTGAGCTCACTTTTTGCTGTAAATATAAATTTTTAATGATTTATTTTAAATCGCTGATGATTCATTTTAAATCATTGATGATTCACTTTTTTTAAATCGCTGATGATTTATTGATGATACATTTTAAATCATTGATGATTCACTTTAAATCTTTAATGAGTCATCGTCTTCAGCAATATCGTAAGCAAATGACATTTGCTTGCTTTATGAGCTTAATTAAGTGACCTTTCATTAAAGAGTTAAGTGATCTTTTTTATCTTATGATGTGACCTTTTTGACCACTTTATTAGACTGTTATTAAAAACTCACTTGCTCCTTAATCCTGATTTAACTTTATTAAAAAATAATAATTTAATTACGTAGTTATATATAAAGCTGTAGTGAAATTATCTTACAGTTTCGTTTCTCTGAAAGAATCTTTTATCAATGAATTCATTTCCTTTGCACTCAAACTGTTCTGATATAAGAAGGGAAGCAAATGTTACACAACTATTAAAGAGAGTGAAGCAAACAAAAAATTTATGAACGATTCAGTTTTCGGGATAGCAAAACCGGATAAGGAAAATTCTGCTTTTGCTGCAAAATGTAACTGTTAAGCGGTTCTATCCTTTCTTTCTATTTTTGAACACGTATTTTGGATTTCGTTTCAAAACATTCTTGGATTAGTAAAACCCAATAATTAAGGAAAACATAATAGATCCGTATCAATTCCTCATTTTCAAGCGTATCGTCAAATTTCTCCCAATTTTTTTCAGCTTAAAAGAAATTATCTGATAATGATAATGAGTAAGTGTTAAAAGTATGAGATAATTGTAGATGAAAGCGCTTTTAACAGTATATTTCACCCGTATTGACTGAATTCATTAGCCTACAGATATGTTTCCTTTTTCAACATTCAATTGTCGAATTCAAAAAACAAAAATAAAAATTTAAGCAAAAATAATTTACCAAATTAAAAAAGACTGATAGCACTTATTATTCTAAACAAATTGTACGGACTATTCTGTGAGCAATTTAATTCCTGCACTTTCTATAGCCGCTTATAACAGCTTCTTCTGCACAGACTTTATTAGTTATCCTTAATGATAAAGGCTAGGCAATATATTTCATCGATTCATTTACAAATGGTCCAAATTATTGGAATCAAAACAGTAAAATTCAGATATCATTTTGGTGAAGATGAGACGTTGGATTCCATACATATATATTCGATTTGATCTCATATCTGAGATTGTCAAAGTATGAATGCCTCGAAATTTTCAAACTTCGATGAATATCTTATAATTTCTGAAGTTCTTTACTTCTTATAAGAATTATCGCTGATTTTGATACTGTTATTCATACTAATTAAAAACGGAAACAGAGGAAAAATTATGAAAGGATTTATGGCAATTGAGAGAGAAATGAAGCAGTTAAAAACAATTTTTTGCATAAAGTTTTTTTGCCCTGTTTGTTAATGTATACCATATCCCATCATTATTTTATTATTTTGTAGTATACAAACCCAAAATATTTAAATTATGTTAACTTTCACATACTTTCGAGTGTTAAAATTTTTTCTTATGAATTAAAATTTAATTCACCATAATTGTTGTCCGATTAATTAAATTAAAAATATGTAAATAAAATTATTGAATTACGAGAAATTGATGGACACATTCTCAGTGTATTAATAATTAATTTAATTGTTTATTTCATCCGTTAATTTTTCAGTAAATTCTGCTCATATTTAGCAGAATAAATGGCGATTGTCAATGAATTGTTTTATAAAATTTCACATTTTACAATGATAAGAGAACGAATGGATAGGAACAGTACGGAGGTTCGAGAAATTGGTCAGTTCAAGTTTATTGGTCATTTCATTATGAAATTAGGTCATTTCATATTCATCATCCAACTTACATGCATTAATTTCAGTGAGCAGTAGTGGTCAAATTACATATTATTGATCATCCGTTATAGTTTTATCATGAAGGTTTGTTTTTTTCTTCTTTTATAATTTGAAAAGTTTTGTTTTATCGACCTATTAAATAAATCAAATGTGCTTAGTGGCGAATAGCACTTATCCTAAAACTTAATTACTTAGCTAAACTTCTTCGATTTTAAACTGAGCCTTAAAATCACAATTTTGTTTTCGAGTGTTAATCTAAATAATAAGTTATCCATATTTATCTTTAATTTTTTTTAAATAAAATATCAATTTTTGAATTAAATTTTTTGTATTCTTCTTGTTTATATTCCTAGTTTTGAACATAGTATGGATTTTCAAAACTGGCTACAATTGTTTACTCAATTTTTAGAGTCTTATCTGTTGTAAATATTAAATCAAACAACGATTTGCTCTAACATTTATATTTACAACCTTTTGGCACATCTTTTTAAATTAAGGAATGATTAACTGGTTGGCAAATTAGATGGATGATTATCGGAATTAAGTTCAATTTAGTAATTATTAGAAATAATCAAATGAAAAAAAGATTTATTTAAGTCGTGTTTCTCGGGTTTGCTAAGAAAAGCTAAAAAATTGATATTGGAAGTGAATCAAAGGTCCACTTTTATCATTTGTCCACTTTTTATACCCTTAAATGGTCAGTATAATATGAGTGTTTATAAAATGATTAGTATGATTTTATTTCTTCTAATTGGAAATTGATAATAATCGAAAAAAAATCATTGGAAAATTAATTCCATCATTTAATTAAATTAGAGAAAAATCGAAGTCAATCAGCAAATTAATTTGATCATTTAATTAGAGAGTAGTAGTAAAATGATAATGAATTACAAGTTTAAGAATATTCTATCTGAATATCAATCTGCCATATGAACGATAGGTACAAACACAATTATCTTCTAATTTCACTTTGATCAAATTATTTTGCGATATTCACTGATACACAATATTTTATATTTCTTGAAAGTAAATATGCATTATTAAATTTTATAACTTTACGGTATAAAATAATTACGAATATATCAAATAATCTGTCATTATAAGTCTCATCTGCAAAATCCATATTCATTATCAAGTCAGAACTTCTAATATGATTTCAAATTCTTTGTTAAAATTTTTTGCAGAACTGAACTTTTCAAAATACACTATTTTTTTCTGCATTATTGATTGACTTCCTTGATGAAATACCATTGTGATAGAGTTGTTTTATTTTATAGTTTTATTTCAAAAAGATTATATTATCATAATCTTTTGTTCACTTTTGATAACGAATGATTTGTTGTTTAGTCAATTTGAAATCGCTATTGTGTGACAAACAAACAGTGTTTAAAATCTTAGAACTTAAAACTTTGCATATATAACGCCTTTGTAGCGCTTTAGTATTAACATTGAATGATTCTAACTAATCTCTATTATTATATTAAAAAAATATTTTATAGTATTGAACAAATATCAAAAATCCTCTTATAGTTATTTCAATTTACATTTTATAAATTATTTAAATTAAAATTTCGCTCAAAATAATACTATCAATTTCAGTATCACGAAATTATCAAACCAAAATATATATGTGAATTTGAAATTGTAAAAAATTATTCAGCAAAAAAATTTTGATAAGAATTTTTCTTAATTTTTGATGATATATTTTATCCGTACTTTCTTTTTTTTACTGATATATATGATTGATCTTATGCCGACACCAGACAGCATTGATATCACGTGAATCTCGTTTTTTTTATTACACTCATAATAAGTAGATAAATAGTACTCATGATAAGTATTCATCTGAAAGTACAAAGGTCATAAGAGGAGAAATGTCACAGCAAAAATGAATCAGATCGTTTATCATATTTTTTTCTCCACATCTTGTGCAGTATGATAATGATGGTGAAATCACATCCTATCATCGGTTTGTATCTAATTGGGAAATATTTTTTTGATAGTATTTTCACGTACTTCACTGAAACAGAGAACCATAAGAAATGATTTCATTTTTTGTATGGGAAAATTCATTTCCACTTTGAAGGCAATTATTAAATGAGACGTTGTTGATTAAACAAGCCTTTTATATTTTAAGTTCACGACAGTATCACATTTATGTAAACAACACAGTCTGCAATTAACACATTTGTAATCCGCAGGTATTATATTTGTGTAAGCATCACAGTCCACTATCAACAAATTTGTAGCTCGTAGGCATTATATTTAAATGTAAATTAAAGAGTATCATAAATATATTGAATGACTTTTATCACGATGAAAACAATTTTCAGGAAAGTTAGATTATTGCTACTTTCTTCTGAATGACATATGCGACACGGTTTTATATGACTGATATCTTGCTAATACATATTTTTAAAATGATGAATCTAATTTTGAATTTACAAAGTGTCACCCGAAATTTCTCTTAGTTTAATTTTAGTTTTATTAAAAATAAAATTTTGCGATATCCTTCTTACTCACTTTTTTCCTGAATATTTTCTGAAGTTAACACGTTGAAATTTTGTATTTTCCTTCTTATAATTCTTAACTCTATTATGGACGTATGTGATGATAACATGAGTTATTTAGTACCTTTTTAATTGGTCCCTCTTTTTCACAACATTTTGTCATTAGTGTATGATGAGGCGGTGATCAAAAGTAAAGTCGAAAATAAATGCTCCATTTTCTTTTGTCGATCTCAATGACCTCGAATTATGTTTATGATAACTGATTATAGTTAGAGTGCTGATGATTTACAGTATTCCTGAAGCAAAAATTTTGACATGATAGAAAGTTATCCTTTATTCATGATACATCGAACAGGAAAGTATCTTTAGAGAATGGTCAACTAGCGTTCATATTTCATAACATAATCTCATCGTAGATCATGATAGATAATTTGTAATAAAAGTTTATAGTGTTGCAATCATATAAACAGCAGAAGTTGATTTAAAATAGTCCTACAAATGAATAGATAATTAATTAATTAATCATTTGTATATTTGATAATGAAGCTAAATAGGAATATTTGATTGATAAAATGTTTTTTCAATACGAATTCCGGAATTCATCTAATTATTCTTAATAAGCCGAAGTAAGAAAAGAGAAACTTTTTTTTTAATTTTTTATATCTTTCGTTTGAAAGCAAATTAATGAGTTGTTAGCTATGTAAATGTCACATTTAATAATTTAGCAATCTGTTATTAACAAATTACGTTTCTAATTTTCTCATTTTAATCATATAAAACAATGTGACAGTTATTTTTGAAAGATTCTAAAATGTCATTTTCTTGATGAAATAGTTGCTTTCAATAATTAGAAGATATGACAAATTTGATTTGCTTATGTCGGAGATTTAAAAGAAACAAAGGAATGTGTATTGAGAGGAGAAAAGAATAATTAGCAAATGATAACGAAATTATTGATAAGCTTTATCATGATGAAATTATTGATAACGATTCATTTATACGTTTGATAAAGTGATAGTGAAATGAAGATTAATCTCTGATATGTAAAATTAAGCAATCATTTTGAGATTACATTCCTATTTCTGAGATTTTGATAAGTTAATGGATATTTACTTTTCATTATCATGGATCAATTCTTTGTTTTTAAATTAATTGCAACAGTGAAGAAAAGCAAAATGTTCAGAAATAATATTTGATTTTGTATATATTCTCTGGAATTTTTATGAATTTAGAATTTACAGAATATTTTTATAATTGTTCCACAAATTTCAGAAGCATTTTTATAATTATTAAGTATATTTATGGAACATTTTGGTTATAACTGCGAAGTATATCTGAGGAGCATTTTTATAATTACGAACTATACCTGAAGAGCATTTTATAATTGCAAAATATACTTGAGGAGCGTTTCTGTACTTGCAAAGTATACCTGAGGAGCGTTTCTGTACTTGTAAAGTATACCTGAGGAGCGTTTCTGTACTTGCAAAGTATACCTGAGGAGCGTTTCTGTACTTGTAAAGTATATCTGAGGAGCGTTTCTGTACTTGCAAAGTATACCTGAGGAGCGTTTCTGTACTTGTAAAGTATATCTGAGGAGCGTTTCTGTACTTGCAAAGTATACCTGAGCAGCATTTTTATAATTACGAAGTATACCTGAGGTGCACTTTGCAAAGTATACCTGAGGGGTATTTTTATAATTACTAATATATCTAAGGAGCATTTTTATAATTGCTAAGTATACTTAAGGAGCAATTCTATAATTGTTTTTTATTTGTAAAATAATGTCAACTATCGTGATATGATGGAATTAAGTGCAAATAGAGAGCTAAAGCTAATTATATCTCTCCTGCAATCGATGATTAGTGAGGTAATATTTGGTGGTATCGGTGAGAAATTCAACAGATGAGCAAGATATCATTACAATTCTTTATTTCAATGACAAAAAAATTTCTTGGAATATTGCTTTGCAAGATTGAAAAGTTCTTGAACTTGATTAAATTCATTGATCCAATGAAATCTTCTAATTAATCAATAAATGGATTTTAGTATTATAAGGATATTAGTTGTTATCACATGAAGATATTGCGTGATCAAGTCAGAAAATTTAGAAATTAATGCCACTTTGTTTTAGGTGGCATTTGTGAAGTTAACATTTATATCTGATAATGCAGACAAAATAAATTTTGAATTGAAATACGATCTGCGCAAAAAAATGAAAACTATTAAGGAAGCTAGAAATGAAACGAAATTTTGATAATGCTATCAATCATTACAATGTTCATTCATTTTTTTCATCCAAGAAATCCATTTTCCTTATCAGATCACGAATTATCGTATATTAAATCTTCTGATAACAAGATTTATTGCCTATTTTTATCATCGCCTATTTTTTTCTGCACTTTCATTTATCAAATTATAATTATATTTTATTTTATAGTACATTTTAATAACTTCTTCAAAAAATAAAAGATATTGATTAGATTTCGCTGCAATTTTCTATTTAAATGTGAATGTTTCCTTTTTACTGTATCTTTTTACTGTATTTCTCGTTTCTGTTTACTATATTTTTGTACACTTATGAAAATTAATAATATGTAATGATTGCTATGTGCACTCCTGGAATATCTGAGATACGCTCTGAGTTCATTCTCAAAATAGTTGGAGCTTATTGAACTGTCAACTCATATTTTGTCAAACTTATTGAACAAAAACAAATTAACTTCATTCAATAGGATACATGCATTTTATGCTATTAGAAAATTTATTTTAAATCCTATTCCATAGTACATAACTTTTTCACAATTCCTAATTTAAAATGCAGATTAACATTTTGAAGTAAAATTGCAATTCATATTTACATTGCTATTAATTATTACAGATTGCATTCATTGATAATGACGATCGTTTCATTTTGCTTGGTTTGGTTACTATTGCAACGTCATTGCTGACGTTATTTGCTCTATTTTTGGCTGTCGAAATGATACAACGAACGACAAATCTGTCGCAATTAGAAATGGAATTACGTGCTGAATCATTTAAGGTTTTCGAAAATTAGAAATGAACATTTCAAAAAAAATTCAATACGATAATGTTTCATTTCATATAATCTAATTATACGATAACATGTGGCTATAAATGAATGTAACTTAAAAGAGAATGCTCATAATGTTAATGTTCAGGCATAACGTAGTTATGTTAAGCATTTACCACTTACATTAGCCAAGTTTATGTTTAGCCCAACTATAAATGGGTTGAATAAATAAATAGCTTTAGCTTGTTAAATTGATACAATTTTTTGAGGACTGAATATTTCTGGTTTAACTTTTTCCCATATGATGGATAATTTAGGGCATAAAGATTGAATGAAAATGACAGTGTAAGATCAATCTATCCGTTAAGGACTTCTATTACTTTAAATGGAGAAACATTTTCAGAGAAAATCTTCTGCTCTATGGATTGAAATAAGGCATGCTAAACAAATCACTGGCCATAATACACGTTTCGCACGACAAGCTAATTTGCTTGTTGAAACTGTCGAACGATGTAGTAGTAAGTATTGCATGCATACTACTATGCAACGTTCACATCAAAAGTTGACTTGTAATGGCAATTTTAATTCAGAATGCATGCGTTTGTTATGTCCGATGGGTGAGCCTGGACTTATTGGACCGCCAGGAGTTGATGGGGTTCCGGGTACACATGGAAAAATGGGACAACCTGGTACTGATGGCGAAGATATCATGGCTGAATCGCTACCAATCAATCTCCCATGTTCTATTTGCCCAGCCGGACCACCTGGTTTGCGTGGTTCACAAGGAGAACGTGGTCGAGTAGGTCTTCCAGGTTCTTCTGGTTCTTCAGGTCAGTTTTCATGTATTTTTCAAATCGAAATTCTGGGCTATGGCAGAAAAAGGGTATGAAAAAATTTTTGACTTATATCAAATATTGAGCACTTCTTATTGTATATTAAAATTGCACGGAAATTTCGTGGAGTTTCAGGTAGACCTGGTAAGCCAGGTGAAAATGGGATAATTGGAAACATTGGACCTGAAGGACCAAGTGGAGAAAAAGGACCAGTTGGACCTCCAGGGGCAACCGGTGATGACGCTTTCGGTCGGTTTTCTTTTAATGGTATATTTCATTTTTTCCAACAAATTTGTTTTTGTCTTAAAAGTGTCAAAACTTTTCAGCTGGCGTTGGTATAAAAGGACCAAAAGGTTTATCTGGACCGATAGGTTCTAAAGGACCACAAGGCATGCCAGGTCGACGATCCAATGTTCCCGGCAAGCAAGGAGAGCAAGGAACGATTGGTTTACCTGGACTACAGGGAAATGTGAATATTAAACTTCAGTTATTTTCTGTCTAAATCTTATTATATTTCAATTGTTCTTCTATTTTAGACTGGTGCACATGGTGAGAAAGGACCGTGGGGTCCACCAGGAGAAGCTGGAATGCCGGCAATGTATTGCCCATCAGATTGCGGAGTCTCAAAAATCCTTGCACCATTTTCAATTGGTTTTCCGGTTGATTTCAGTGATTCTTTCAATATTTCTAATCCATATCATAATTCGGATTCTATCTAAAATAAAATTCATTAAAACTGATTTAAGACTTGCTTAATGTATACTTTCATTTGTAATATAAATAATGCAAGTATTGATTTTTGGATAAATCAATGTGTTAATAAATCAATGTGTTATTATAATAATGATAGCATTCGTTATTTCTTTTCAATCTTCAAATAGAGGGAGATACTTCTAAAATGTTTCTAAAATGTTTTTTTATTCATTAGAATCTGATACACATTTCTTTCTTTGAAATCTTTCATTAATGAAATTATAAAATTCCTCATTATAAAATTGAACAAACATTCGGAAGAATATCATAAATTTAATTTTTGCCTAAAATAGAATGATTGATGTCAACGGTGATTTCAGAGGAATCGCTTAAAAACAAACTTTTTACCATATCCATCAGGTAGGCGTAAACGAGCAGATAGACATATATAGCCATAGATTATTCATGAAAAGATATTTTATATTTTAAAAAATTCATGCATTACAAGAAGATGCACTCTTTAAGGAGAGAAATAAAACACTGAATCACTTCTTCAAATGTCACTTTTAAAATTACATTTTCCTAAATTGAGAAAATAACAGAAACTAATCGTTATCCTCATCACCTTTTTCTTCTTGACAATTTTCAAATCAAAATTAAACTTCCCTCAAAAACTTTTGTCTTGTTGCTAAATAGATTCTGAATGTCGTCAATATGTAGATTCCTTGTTTTAAAAAAAAAGTTATAAAAAAAGAAAAGGAAGAATTACAGAATCCTTATGAAATAATTCGATTTTCTAACGATTTAGTAGCCTAAGATGAATTATAGCCATGTATAACACTTGCTGTAATATTGATCATATTTGTTTCTGATAATTACAGTATCGCATTCCTATTGTTATTATAATTAAGGTTTTTAGACGAAACATTTTAGAAGTATCTCCCTCTATTTGAAGATTGAAAAGAAATAACGAATGCTATCATTATTATAAGTATTAATAGTAGTAATTAGTCTTATTATACTATTTCAAATCATTATCCTCAACTTTTGTATTTGAGAAAGCAGCGGGATACCATTCCTTCGTCTACAAATCCCCTAAATTGTTGCATAAATGTAGTAGGCCTCATCATTCTTACTACATTCCTATATTTGAACTTAATAAAGCAACGATATAATTGTTTTCCTCCACCCTCTCTCTATCATTAATACATAGCTACATAAAATTACACTATGAGGACAAGTAAAAAGATGCTTATTTCATTTCTTTAAATCAATTCACCGTTTCCTCTTATTTTTCGGGAGCTTCCGCAATATTTTTTCGAGTTCTAATGACATTGAAAAAAAGTAGAAGTCTAATGACATTGAATTTCAACGACGTCATATATTTGAGTTATATGGTAAGCAGAATAAAAATTTCTTAACAGATGATGATAAATTTTATACAATTATTTTAAAATTCAATTTCATACAGTAATACCATCTGATTTGTTTTATCAAAGCACTAAATTACAATATCTTCCCTTTTTTTTCATACATTTTCCTACTCAAATTATTCAAATTAGCATATAACAATTATTGAAAAGAATCACATTGTTCAATAAAATTATTTGACAACCGTATTTTCTTAACTTAAAAAAATATGTTATATATTGAACGGAAAAGAAAATCACACAAAAAATATCAAATACCGATACGATGGTGAGAAAAATTATTTTAATGAAATGCCCAATAAATGCATGAAGTGACCAGAGATATAAAATTTCATTATTTATGCGAAAAAGCATAATCAAATTAGAGGAACTGATATATAATACACGATAACATTCTACAATGCAAATCATTCCCAGTATTTATAGGTTTAAATTCAATGGAGGATATTTCAGGCTTTAAAATTAAAAATTTAGGCGTAACTCTTTTGATTTACCATTGAATTGAAAAAGATGAAAGAGAAAATTGAGGAAGGTACAGATTTGGTAAAATATTTCTATTTCATTCATTTTTTCCTTACATTCTTTAAAAATGAAATGAATAGATACATAAATACATCGATAAGAAGCTAACAGTAAACGATTATTGATTATATTTTCAATAATGAAATGTAAATTTCATCATATCATATATTTCTTTTTCGAGAAATAAAACTTTCGGATTATTTCGAAATGATTATTTGAAATAATTCTAGAAAAAAACAATCTCTGGATTATTAAAAAATTGGAGAATGTCAAACAAGCAGATCTAAGAATAACCTTCAAGAATGAAGTTTAGCAATGATGTGACCAACATATTGGTCTGATCTTTGGAAGAAAATATTGCATCCTCTCAAATCAAGGTCAAGTACATAGAAAAGGCGATAGGCTAAGTTCTCTCTGTAAGATAACTGATTAGATAACAAATGTCTGTTCTTGAATTTTGCTGGATAGTCTGTTTGTTTTCTTTTTTGATGAAAATAGTAGAACGCCACACATTTCTTACAGCATCTAATTCAGAGAGACATTTGCTAAGATAGAACAATCTATTTCAAACTGTATGATACAATGGATACAAGAAATTATGACGGTTGAATTTTAGAAATGTGAGAATAGGCCTGGAGGTGATTTCTTTATCCGTATCTTGTGGAATCAAACTTTGTGATAGCTTAGATTCATCGGCATTCACATCACCATAGCTATAATCTAACAATTCCACTCGTATCCTCAACGTATCCGTAAGAAGCATCATTTCAATCTGATCAAAATGTTGCACGTAGTAGAAAAATGTATATCAAAATGTAACAAAAAAAATATCTTGAATTTCAGCTATACTTCTGAAAATCTCCAAAATCAACTGATGACTAATTTCCATCTATTTTGTATCGTATAACACACAGAATTTATAATCTAATAAAGAAAAGCTTACATTGCTTAATTGTGATTTGTACAAGCTTTGGATAATTTGCCGTGGATTTCTGTTGCCGAAAAGTTCAGAATAAAAAGTTGGACAATGCTGCCATTGTCCTGCTTCTGTTTTCTCGAAGCAATGCACAATCCAAAGTAATACTAACAATCGAATAGCATCCATACAATGACGTTCAACCATTTCGTCTTCTAAATATTTGACACCATGTTGCTGAAATTTTCAAACTTATCAAAATTTGCAAAAAAAAATTTTAAAACAAAATGCTTTTTGGATAATTAAAAAAAATGCTAATATCTACAAAAACTTCGAATCGATAATTAAAAACTTTAATAAAACTTAAAAAAATGAAAGACAATTTAAAAACAATAAAAGTCCTCGTTAAATCTATGCTGTAATAAAAGATTATATTAAAGGTATAAAACTAAAAGTAAGATATTGAGGAAACGGCTTGCAATCTCATTTTCATATATTATAGTACATTGGAAGATTAAACAATTTGATAATGGAATTTTTGCAAAATAATTTCTGTGATTTTCTAATTTTGATTGATATGCATGGCTAAGATATTTTTGTCAATTCTGAAAATGCTATGTATTATATTATTCTATCATATTACGAGTTCTAGTCATGTCAATGAATATTACACAATGATCAGAAGAGTTGACATTAAAATTGAGAAAAGCAAGTCAACCGTACAACATGTAGAACTTGTGAAAAAAAGTCGTAAATGTATCACTGAAGTATGAAAATTAATTTCCAAACTGAAAGGGTATATTTTATTTCAGTTTAACAAATTTCGCATCACAGAGAAAACGAAATAAAACTATTACTTTCAAATATGAAGTAAACTTCAAATCTGTTGATAAATTATCCGGATAGTATGATAGTGTTCAACAACAAATTATAAACTTAATTACGTCCCTCAGACTCCAAATTAATTTTTCGCCATTTCTATATCTTATTAGACTTAGCTTACCTTATGTCTTTTTTGTTCTTGCATTATTTAATACAAAATAAAGTTTTAAATTTTAGAATAAAATTTCAAAATAAAAATGAACTTTTTTTTCAAAAATTTGCTAAATAACAAAAAATTGTTCGATACAAAAAAGAAGTAATGTTTGAAAAACGAGCGCTGAGATTAAATATAAAAATCAAACTTCGAAATTTGACTAATTTTCAAAATTATTGTTGTTCGAGAAATTTTATAATATTTTCACTATTATTCCTTCACTTCTTTTTTGGTTAAAAAATAAAACGAAAAGTTTCGGAATAGTTCAAAATATTTGAAGTGTAAAAAATAAACTCTAAAATGCAATAATAAGTTTTACTGAAAGAAAGCTAATTATAATATATTCCAGAAAATTAATGAACGTTTGGAAATGGAAATTTCTTTTAAACTTTGATTATCCTACTTCTTGTCATCAAACGAACTATATGAAAGTGGAAATCGTAGAAATTCTGCAATGAAGTTAGTTAATAAAATTAGAAATTTATGGGATAACAAGAAATTTACATCCTCAATCAACACCTGAATTAAGTAAAGTAGTTTAGTTAAAAAGACTGGCACTATGAGATACTTTTTAAGAGATGATCGATAGCTATGTCTGACTTACAACTCGACAACAATAATCATTAAACTTTGTGTAGTTTAGATACTAACATAATCATATTCTGTTCATAATGACGTCTTCTACTACATAAGAAAAACAGAAAGATGCATATCACGTAGTAAAATTTGAAATGGGACTTAACCGATCATCAAAATAAGCCATTATAAGCGTCATATGATGAAGTTATTAATGGATAAAGAAAGCATTGAAATGATGTATTTAGTTGTAGAAATTTGATACTATGATCATAGAAATATTCCAACAAGCAGTAATATGTTGAAAAATCAGCCTTGAGAAATGCTTGTTAAAAATTAAACAAATTATATTTCATGAGAATTTCACTTTTCAAATCATTTGAAAATAATATTATATCATCATCAATGAATGCAAATTCAAGTACCTCTTCAAACACTCCAATCACATCAATTACGGTATAAATGCGTCAATTAAGAAATTACCCAGCGAAAATTTTGTTGAAGTTTGACTTTATTCGTTATGGTAATTTAAACTATAGCAGAACATTACTCCAATATTTTCTTTATATTAAATAAAAAATTTCGGAAGCATTTGTAAATTCCATATTACTCAGTCTCATATAGAAAGCACAGTTCCGGATACATCCGAAGGTTTAGAATAGGTGATTATCCACTTCATTTTTATTCATTCTTCATTTTCTTTTCTTTCAAACTGCTCTTTATATCTCACTCGAACTGTTAAAAAAGTGTTTAGTAATTAAATGAATGGAATAAATAAAAAGTTTGACATTTCACTAAATACATTATATGAATATTCTTTCCGGATGAATACGACATTCCTTTGGTATCGTCGTATGGTGTGTATTGAAACCATTCATATTGAATGAATGAAAATAGTTTAAATAATGAACAAATATGATTTAGCCAAAACCTTTTTTAAATAATACGAAATTTTTATTAAATTGCTTTTGAGATTGAATGAAAGAAAGAATGGGAGAGGAATTGTTGAGAACGAACATTGGAAAATTTTCTGAATTGAAATTCACAATTAAACGAACAGCTGAACATAGGATAAATTTTTTAAGTTGTATTGGTCGCTAAAACTAAATAAAAAGGTATTTCCTACGGAAAAATGAAATCAGAAAAAATAAATTTAATTCAACAAGAAATGAACTTGATCTGAACCGACCACAACCAAGAAATGAAGTTTGATCTGAATTGACCATTAATAAGAAGTAAAGCTTAATAGCTTAATCGATCGGCCATTTTAAGTTCATTTTCAGAAAATAAAATTTTGAAGAAAGCAATTACTCGTTTATTTGAGATCTTACTGAATTTTTTTATTTGAATACTTTTTTATTTTACTTGTTAAAAAAAATGAGGAAGGAGGAAAGAATTAAGGGAATATTTACTTCATACTCAATTGTCTACTTATGAATTCCTATCAATTTCATGACATACCAAATCCCAGAGATTTTGCAAGAGGTTGATCGCGTGTTCTTTATTTTCGACAATGTTGGATCCATCAATGAATCTCCATTGCCGTACAAATTCATAGCGTGAAAAAGCTCGTCGAACAGCCTGCAAACATAACGGATTGCAGAAAAAAGCGATTGTCATTAAATACTAATTTTTAACGACAAATAATAAAATTTACGACACTAAATTTAATTTCATATTTCAATGTGCCTTTTTCTTCATAATTTAATAAATTGTAAACTAAAATTATTAGTGTTTGCATTAGCAAGATATTTCGTCATTTCACAATTTATTCACTAAGTTATCATATACTTACCTATTCTACTGATCAGATGCTAAAATTTATTCTTATTTATCAGCTTCTTGTCTACTTCTTCGTTTATTTCTTTTGTTCCATACTTACTATTGATTTTTTTTAAAAAGAAATATTTCCGTTCTTTTTCCTGAATTTCTTGAAATATAAAAATATGAGAATTTCCTTCTAGGCAAAAGACAAAATTTCATTCAATGAAACATTCCATACGTCACCAAAATGTACAAGTGAAAATTTACAGTTAAAAAGCTGAGCTAAATTCAAACATGATAGCCTATTATTCACCCAATAATGAGGAACAATGATAATATAATACTAACATAGGGTAATAAATCAAGTTATCCTATTCTTCGTTTTCCTCTTTCATACAGTCTCATAAGGAACAACAAACTTATCTTATTTATACTACTCTTTGATATTTACTAATTTTTGTTAAATTTATTAAAGTTTTTAATTATTAACAACAAAGACCCCAATAAGCAACTAATAAAAATTTGCATTTTGTAATCCAAGTGGAGAAAATTTCACTTTGTAGTACTAACAAATTATTTTCGCCATTGGCCATAACATTCTAATACACCTTTAAACTAATTATTTTTACTGATTGTCTAGCTAAGCGATTTGATTAATTTTGTTTCCTGACCACTTTCACAACTTCGTTTCTTCATTTAAACTAATTCGTCGCATTAATTTTCTAATTCAAAAAATTTTAAATCAATAAATTAGTCATTGTCAATTTCATTCGAACAGACCGTTTGGATCAATTTACTACTACTTTACAAAAACTTAAAAATTGCAGTGGTGATCGATCATACATGCACAAAGTTTTTTCAAAATAATCATTTACTTCCAAATCTTCTAAAAAGGTCAATTAAAAAATTGACCTTTTTAGTTAATGCTCTCGATTCAATACCCTTTCCTTTCTATTATCTTTATGACCCCTCTCTTATCATTCTTATCATTGAATATCATCATAGTAGGGAATATTTTAATCATTTAAGATATTCTTTTAAATTTTAATAAATGAGAAAAAAAGCTAGGGGCGTGGCATTTTAACCTAAAGCCATAGGCGGAGCAGGATTTCGTGTAGGCGGGGGTGATAGGGAAAAGGAACGAGGGAGGGGAAAGAGAAGTATGGGAGATAAAAGCACTAATCGTCCTTCTGTTGGGCGCATTCCTGGTTTCTGGCATGTCATGGAATGTTAACGTTTTCTCAGTGAATTCATTTCAGTCCTTACGGATCACTAATTCAGTTTCCATCTGTCCAAATTAGTATGCTAATAGCCTTTTCACTTACGGACTAAAATGTTATGTCAGATTTAAAAAAGAATCAAAAATTGGTACATGTTAATTTTAAAATAAGTGCATTCTATTTGAGAAGTAAGATTAAAATAGATGTATTAACGCCCTACTACTAGATAATTAGGTACAGTCTTAACGATATAAATCAATCGTCATTATCTTACCAGATCATTACAATTCACTGTACGAAAGATTATCTTGGAGCAATATTATAGTAGTAAAACCTCATTTTTAATTGTCATACAGGTAAGATACTGATAAGTTCAGAAAGGTTCCTCTAATCGCATTTAAGTAACGTTTAGGAAAAAAACGAAAAAGACCAAAGAATTTCAATGTAATCTAAAAGATTCATTTAGCAAAAAGGTATGTGAGTGAAGGAAGGAAAAAAACGAAATGAAAATATTTGAAATTACATGAATCTAAAAGATAGCAAATTGATAGTAAACTGATAGTAGTAAAAATGAAAGATAGTAAACTGATAGTATTAAAAAATGAAATATTAAACAATCATAAAAGATATTTAGCTATCAACAAATGTTAATAACAGCATTATTTCTCTTGACAGTAATAAAGAAATAGTTCCTCAAAGAGCTATTAATATTATTGCAATGATATGTAGCTATTGCACTGCTATTACATTAATAAGTGATAAGAACAATAAATGATAGTGTGATTAGTAAAGTAGTTTGAATAACTGTATCAATAATATTGATAATCATATAGTAATAGTAGGGTTAGGAATAGAAGTGGTAGACCCTACACAATTAGCTTTTATTGTGGTTTCTTGCTTCGACTGCTTCATAAATCATTTTGAAAAATTTGAAAAATTCATTCAGAGAAGAGAAAAAAGAGATCGTTTTTTCTAGTTGAAAAAAAATTTACAACCAACTCTGATTGCTTTTTTTAGCATGCAATTGTTCATAAATTATATATTATGCTGATCTATGTCAAGCTAGTTTTATTCACCGAATAGAAAACTATCTCACCCGTATATATCCATTCCGATATATTCTAATTGAAGGTTCCATTATCAACAAATGATAATCATTCATTTCTCTCCTACTTCCCATATCATTCATTTGTTGATAAAAAAGAGGTTGCTGATGAATGATTAGGATGAGCAGGGTTAATATATCAAAGAATGATAATGGCCAATATATTACTAAATATGAAAATTAAAAAGCTAAAAATACATCAGTATGTCATATATTACAATAATCCCATCAACTGATCGGTTATTTGCTAAGCAATATAAAGTTAGATGTAAAAAGTAAACTTTTCAGTCTTCGATTTTCATCTCAAATTCTATTTCTCAGCAAAACTTCATTTATTTCCTTCATTTTCTTCAATCATCTCTTCCGCATCCGTCTATTCATCTCATTCAGGAGAACTCCCTTTTTCTTCTCATCATCCCTCCCCTTTTTTTACTTTGGAACTTAATTTTTTGCTTCATTATTCATTCAAATTTTCTTATTGCAGCAAGAGTACCATGGTCTCGGTAAACTTATTTGCTCGGGTAGCTGCAATTGTCATACTAACAGCTCAAGTCAATGCTTTGATTTGTTATGAAAATGATGAATCTGTGAGTAATTGTTTTCATTAATTTCCATAATTCTGATACAATTTAAATGTAAAAAATTTATTTTAGATCAAATTATAAACACTGAAATATTAAATAAAAAAAACAAAGATTATATATTCTAATTAATCTTGATTAAATCTTCTCTTCTATTCAGGGCAACCTATATGAGATATCAAATGAATCCTGGGATTATTGCGTCTTCATTCCGGGTCAAAAAGAAAGTCGAGTATTTGGTGTTGGTAAAGAGGCAGATTGGACAGAAGCATACGATGAAGCATTTAATAAATCGGATAAAATATATCAAGTACTATCTCTTTGTCTCCTAGAGGTTTGTAATATGTTAATATTTCAACTTATTTGCTATTTATAATCAAAATACTCCACTTCATGATTCAGTGACAGGTAAGAGGAAAGACCGATGGGAAAGACCGAGAACCGATACTTAGGAATCAAAGTAGTTCCATTACGAATTAAAACATGGTAAAAATTCCGTCTTTCTATCATTTCTCATCACCGAAAGCTAACAGTTTATTTTTAGAAATATGATTTCGGTCAGTTGAACCCGAAAAGTGTCATCAATACATCAGAATCGGTAGAATTCATTTTCCGATGCATCTGCAACTATAATCGTTGTAACAGTGCTACAACGTTTAGTAACTATTTGAAGACGATCAAATCGGACAATATTTCGCAGTAGTCATGAGAAGAACTGAAGAGAAATAAAACAATACTAGGGAAAACTAACTGTTCCATTCCTATTCATTTTATCATTTCGATTATTAGTAATTCGAAAAGAAAACACACACACACACACACACACACACACACACACACACACTACATAAAGATAAACTTTAAGTTATTAAAATTTGAAAAGAGTATTAAGCATTATTAAAATTTCAAAATTAACATCTCAAATTTCCGGAAACTGTTCACTTACTTTGTCTTTTTCCGGAAGCATTTCAAATGATCAAAGAAGAATCGAATGAATTTTTCATAAAAAGCGCTTTTAAAAGTTCATCTCTCTCTCTACTAATATTATTTTAATACAATTCTATACAATAATTGTTAAATTGTTAATTAAAAACAATTAGATATGAATTTTGTGGAAATTTTATTGAAATTCCTTTTCAATTTTCTATTTTTCCTTTTATACCTAATAATTTTTATTGTCAATTGGATTTTGTTCTTTTCCATTCTATCCGCAAAATTTTCTCTTCATCGCAAATTTACAAGTATTATAAAATGCTTTCATATTTATTAATTATAATTATAATTGTCTTAGTATCAAATAATTTTTATTATTATTCAAATGCTCTTGTTCCTTCTTCTTTCTTTCACTAGCTAACTTAATTGTAATGATCTCACTTGATAAATCAAAATGAAAAAAGAAATCAACATTCCTTGAAAGGTATTTATTGCATAAATAATTATATCATTCTTACACACATCCAAATAATATACCAAACAAGTTATTTGTTTCTTTGTTTTGTTTATTCGTTGTTGCTCATTTAGTTGAAATTTTTACATTTCTTTCAACAAATTCTTCTATGTTCAGTGTAGTACGATGATGAAATCTCTTCAATGTTGTGAACTATTTACTGTCTATTCAGGTTGATCATTTCACTTTTCGAATAAAATTGTTAATAAGCGTTATAAGGAAATTTAAACGACAGCAAAAAAAGGATGCTTAATTTATGAAAAGAATAATTTTGGATGTTGTGATATCCGTACGGAGGACTATTCATTGATTTTTACTACAAAGGAAATACCACTTGAAAATAAGTTACAACTTATATTTTCGACGTTCATGTGGTATCACATCTATTAAACATTCATTAAAAATACTAAATTGCTAGCTAAGATTTAATCGCTATAACAAAAATTCTCGCCTCTATAATATCATGAAAAAAGAAATGATTTTCGAAGATAATCTAATCTATGGTAGTATATTTATCACTCTATCACTTGTTAACATTTAGCAGGTTTAGCAGGAATAATACAAGAAAAAATCAAATCAAAAGGCTCAATAAAACAAATAACAATTAGTTCTTAACTAATATTTAAAAGTGATGTCAATAATCGTCATAAAAGGTAGGGAGCTGAAAGAGATCTTTGATCTCATTAATGAAATTATAATTTTAAATGTTATTAATATGTCATTTTATTGCTTGTGATTTGTGAAATAGGAGTGTGGGAGAGATGGAAGAGTGGGTAAGATTATGTCGAAATCGTATTCATTAAAATATTAATAGGAAATCAAATTATGCACTCAATAAATTTTAAAAAACTTACTACGAACATACATCAGGAATTTTTATAAAATTTGACCTTACCAGTTTTCAGTTGTGATTTTAGAGCTTTTAAAAATTATTAAACTACGATTATGCAAGGAATTTCAGACATAACTAGAAGACTAAGATCATCCAAATCGATAGATATGGCTTCTATAGATATTAAATATTTGATTGTTTCTTATTTATATTCTGCGCATAAACTAGAAAACAAAATAGTTCCATATGATTCCAAAAATGCTAAAATTAGACGGACAAGAATGATTTTTCTCGTAATACCGCGGCATATTGAAATATCCGGGTACAGTGAAAGAATGGGCTTTGCTGATGCGTCATCAGCCAGTTAGTTATAACAAGTTCAATTATTTACGTATTATCATTTTAGCTGAATTACAGACAAACAACATACTGCGTGTTCTCTTTTTTAAAAATAGTTTGAAAACTTTATCTAATATGAAATGTGTTTTTCAAGGCAAAGAAAACTTAAAATTTTCTATGCTTATATCAAAGGGTTTATGTCATTCAAGCATAGCAATATTTTCATTATTGTCAATCTCGTTGTATTAAAATTCATTTTGGAATTTAAATGAAAGAAATTAGCTATCAATGGTAGATTAGCAAAAGAGAAATCCTCGTACTACAAAACATGCAATAATTTTGAATTATGAAGAGTTAAATCTTAATGCTTATTAAAGTGATGAGAGATGAAAATTATTAAAAATCCTAGTGTTTTATGCTTCATTTAGATCATTTTAAAATCAAAATTTATATTACATGTGCGTGAAAAAGCCGCTGAATTACAATACAGATATCGAATTTTATCGAACTACTTCAATTCATTTGCTCATTAAATTACGGATCATTTTTGACAAATTGTTTGATTAAAGTTAATCAATAAGTGATAATGTTTCCCTTAGTTTGCTCGAAACTTTCACGTTTATTAGATAATGAAGTATGAATTTTCTAAATATTAAACTGAATTAATGAATATTATGGATCTCAAAAAGCAGAATTTCATAATGTACATAATACTTTTTGTTTTTTTACTATTCTAATAAACCTTTTGAAAATCAAAGTAACATTGGTATAAGTTCTGTTCTACTCATATTTCTTTATTTAAAATCTAAGAAATTATTTTTTATTTATAAATTTTGTAAAAATTTTTTTTTGCAAAAGAGATTTAAAATAAGAACTAAAATATCTTCTTTAAGATATGATTGGATACGATTGATTAAAGCAACTTGAAATAAGATTAAAGCACAAAGAAATTTAATGAAAGAAGAGAATGTGAGATTTTAATTCCATAGATAATGCTACATTATAAAATTCAAACAGATGAGAAAATGAAATTATGACAGATACTCTTTTTTTTTGTAAGGAATGATTTTGGTAAGGATCATTTTTCTTCAGAAACACTATTGAGAATAATGAGAGTGTCACATCAAATAAGATAATACTTGCGAGACTTGCAAGCGATATAAGTATTACCGTTAAGATATCAAGAGATATTAATCACTTCTGTCACTACTATGTCTATGATCGATCTGTTATAGCAGGGGAAGCATAGGTACACAAATCTATAATAGATCTCTCCGTAATATTTTATAGAAGTGAAAAAAGAAAAAAACGGTAAAGCAAATGTAACTTTCAAAATTGAAATTTGATACTGCAACTAAAATATTATCTAAATGATTTTCATGAATTTCTACGTTTTAAGATTAATGAAATGTATAAAGATATATATCGTAATACCGAATGAAGTGCTCTACTTATTTTGATTGAGGACCAGAAATATTTTCAATCATTTTGAGATGAATCTGATCGATGTAAATAAAATTTTTACACCTAACGTTAATTACAAAGTGTAAAATGAATTAAAGGTAAAAGGTGAAACCTTTGCAGCGATCAATACATCCGAGCAATTGAAAAATGGTATCCCACGAATGAACATTAAATGCAACAGAGAACTGAGAAATTGTTCCGAGCAATTCGAACTTCGCTTTAATCCAATCCTTCGCCAATGTGGACGTGATATGTATAATGATTGAAGAGCCTAAAATGTTTTTCATTTACTTAAAATTAATCATTGAATTTTATAAAAGTGAAGCGACATATAAGTCTCTATTAATTTCTTTTTTTCCCTTCCTCCTTCTCTCGTATGATAAGCAATTTTTAACTAGTAAATTATCGGTATGACCTTCTGCTCTTTATAAATTGGTGATTAATAAAATTATGCCTTCAGAGGATTTCCAGGCAGCGTATCTTCGTCAACATGTCATTCTGTTCTCGAAATTCCTTGGAATTTATGAATTTAAACTTTATACTCAAATGAGTCATACCCTTAGCTGAGAAGATTTCGGGGCAAACTGTTCTTTTGCCCAAGCCATTAAATCTCGCGTAACATTGTACAGGTGATTTTGTCTATTGTTTGAACTACTGGGATGTATCTAAAAAAGATCTAGTTTAAGCTTCAGATAATACATCCATAAATGAATAGCTGCAGGAAACTCATTCATAATAAATGATAATATTCATGAATCATTTTCTCTCTTATAACTTTGTTTAAAAAACGTCCAATAAATTTCCTGCATTGCTTCAGCTATCTTTTAATCCCTTTAGACTTTCCCTAATTCGAGCTCTTTCTCAACTCTTATTTATCACAAAGCATTTCATGCATTATCTATGAATGCTAAACTAACCTAAACTTACTTGCTTAAACTTAATTCACAACAGCGCAGAACAAAGTATGAAAAAAGAATTTTCCATCGGATCGGATAAAAATCACAGTAACTAGATTTTCAAAAGTTAAAAATCTTATCTGCAACATTTACCATCAAATAGTATCATTTCAAAAAACAGCTGTCATTTTCATAGAGAACACTCTGTTAAATCAACTTCATGATAATTAATACTTTATCACTAGAGATTCTAGGAAAATTAACATTTAAAAAGCAAAAAAATACCTGATTAAGGTTGGAGCGACTGAAGCATGCAGCTAATGAATCATCCAATGATTCTTTCAAATGTTCTCCTGTGATAAATGGACAATAATTATCCTCAAACCATTCCATACTTCGGGCAGATGTGGCTATTGAGCAACGATCCTCGCTGATTAACTTTGAATTACTCCGCCTTAAAGGCATCTAATAGTAGTGCTGTTTAGCATTATATTCTCTTAACATCATCTCAAATATCTGAGATTATCACAGTGCAGCTTATTTGTTGTACTACAAATTCATATTTCCTTTTCTAATAATTTAATTAGCTTTTATTACAGTCTAAATGAAACTTTTTGAAGTTTTGAAAGCAAGCGTCAAAAGTTTTTTTCTGCTTAATCGATATTTCAAAATTTAATTGTTTATCTCTCTAAATTTTTAAATATATAGTTATCAATAAGATCAAGGTTTAGATTATTCTGGCTGTTAATTTCCTAACTTAGAGATTCATAGCTAAAAGTAAACATCAGTAAACATCTACCAAGAAAAGTTGTAGTATTGCTAGATCTGTTTATTTTTTAACTGTCTAACTTCAAATTCGCTTCATCAAATTTAAATCATGAACGTGCAACTGGTCTCTTGAAATCTAGTCATATGCATTAAAGTATAATATTTACTGGAAATACAATGCGGTATCCTTCCTGCTCCTAATACAACTGCAAATCCCACCGTGTTAAATATAATTAATTCTCTCTCATAAAAAAGCTCATAACATACTTATTTCAATGTAGTCACTAATTAGATCCATTATTGAAACCTTAATATATATCTAATAAAAGTTTAAACTTATTCATATATTTCCCTTTCATTACTTTTTCTTCTAAAAATTATCCATTTCTGAATTTATTAAATATTTCATTAATCATTTAATTGCCAAAATTTGAGTAATCCTTACCGAATAATAGAATTTCTCTTCGTTTTTAGTGTGACGAGTGTCATCATATCGAGAACTTCATCTTCACTCGAGCATATTTCTCCTTTTCGATCAGGTTCACTTGATCTACAGATCATATAAAGCAGGTAGTAAGACTTAAAAATAATTGATAGTACATTTTTACAATGATAAGAAATAATGGATAACAATATTCACGATTATTAAAAACAGGGTAATAATTATGAATAGAGAAGGATTGAATCTATCACAGCATATTCTAGAAGGATAGGCTTGTGAATTAAAATAAAAGGTTAGAGATCGGGCTAAACAAAATATTACTTCCCTATTTAAGGTTTTCATAGCAGCGCAATAATCTCAGATTATCATTTCAACCTTCCTCAATCATTCTATTAAGCATAAGTGACTTCGAAAAACTGTGCTAAAATGAAATGAATAATCACCTAATGGATGATTGCAAATTGGATGTTGAAATAGTTCCTCTACTAATTCCACTATCAGTCATTGATGCCATCATATGATCCGCTGTTGTCATCGGTGATTTAGTCGATGATTGTACCAATTCAAGTAGTCTGAAATTTCAAACTATTTTTAATGAATGCTATCCGATAGCATATCGAGTACTCTCTGATGCAGTAATACTTCGATAATTTCCAGTATTTGTAATTACTCCGCTCGCAATTAAATCAGTCGGTTTTTAACCAAATATTATATTACATAAAACGGAATTTTCGTTTGTCTTTTTCTTTTGAAAAAAGAAAAGCATTCAATAATCACTTACCCACCGGATGGTGTATTAGCAATAAGTCGTTGCCTCAAAGATGGAAATGATTGAGAACTACGTTCGCTCGATATTGACATACTATTGGTTCGAGTTATAAATCTGCAAAATATTGCTAATCTAAAATCAAAAGCTATCCCTAATTTGAGAATATAATTATAACGAATTTTGTATTATTATGAAAAAGAATTTTTTTTATCAATCCTGAAGCTGTCTTGTAAAGATAATTAATTTACCCAGTGGTAATGTGATAAAGATGTTTAGAATCGACCATACAATTTTTTTGAATGAAATCATTATTCTCTAAATCACTATTTCTTTCTTCTCGATTCAACTGAAAATATATAAAGGGTAGGAAGTGAAATAAAATGTTTGATAAAATTTATATATATCAAAAATAAATTACCTAAAGAATTATAAACTGTAAACAAATATAAGAGAATACAATTATAAAAGTTTCCTTCAGAAATTTTCCAAAGCTCAATTCGACCTTTTCTTATTTTACTTATCACAACAACCTTACTGTGCTAAACTTTTTGAGTGAAATAATTACAAAGCGAAATTATGTTTTGTAATGTAATTTATTTTCGATTAAAACATTTTAGAAATTCCATCAAATTTTCCGAAATAAATCATAAAATCTAACTGTACATAATCGTTTACATTTTCATTACTCTTTTGATCGTCCTTATTCATCTTACAGCGATCATCCGATTCTTCAAACAATCCTTTGGCAGCTCGAAATTCGGTCATATTTGAAACATCAGATGATACTGAATAATGATCATGTTGTACAGCATCACCTAGAAATGAATGATTCTTAACTTTGAAGTTTTCAAATTAAAATATATTCATGATTAAATGATATTCTTCAACATTTAAATCCTGGGTTTCTCGGTGATTTGCCTAATAGTAGTAGAAAAGAACTATCTCAAATTCTTTAGAACATTAAATTCGTTTTAAAAATTAATTAAGAAAAATGAAAGTATGAAGCTTCTATATCCCTCAAAAAGAAGTAGAAATTTATATTCGAAAGAAAACTTTTTAATCAAGCGGTAACATCAGAAGATATTAAGCGCATAATATAGCAAAACACTGTCAATATCAATTAAGCATTGATGAGCTATGCATGAGAATAAAGTTAAAATTCTAATTCTCCTAATGAAACTTTTCAGCTTTATCGCATTACATTTTCAGCTGCTATAATTTGGGTAGTGATTTAATCTAAAAATAATTTATTTTTAGAAAATAACTCTCCCTTTCCGATGTATGTTTTCATACTTATAAAAAGCGAAAATAAAATAAATAAGTACCATAAAAATAACAGTCGGTTTCCTCATCCCATTGTGGATCATCCCAAAGTAGATGTAACGAAGCTGACTTTCCACTTGAAGTAAGTTCTGCATTCGTAGAACTTTGTGAAGCAATACTCGCTGGACGTTTCGGACTAAAAATTTAGCAATATGGCTTCTTTTTTTAAATAGAACTAGATTTAATTAAGTTTCTACTATATAGAAAAAAATTGGAGAATGAAAAATTGAAGTAGGAAAAGTGGAAAATAAAAGCACAACGATATTTGCTCAGTAGATAGCTGAGAAAATAACCAAGAAAATACTTCAACAATATCACTTCGCTATAGAATAATATAGTGCAAATGATAAAGTTTGGTGATTGATACTGATTGTGCAACAGTAATAGACATACTTTAGAATTTGTGATACTTTCAAAATTGTCAAAGATAAGACACCTAAATGAAACATAAATAGAAATAACACCACAATATCCCTCATTTAATATTATTCAAATAATCTCCTGACATCTGTCAAAAAATATGATCAGAAAACTTACTGCTTTAAAGCCATTTTTGATCGCCTTCTTAAATTTTCAATTGGGCTATCACAAATTTGTAGTGCTCGTCCTAAGTGATCCTGAACGGATAGAGTTCAGTGGGATAGTATAATATGTATATTGATATGAAAGTAGTACGATTAACAGATTACTTTATATCAATATTCATAATTTAATTCACAAAAAGATGAGATATACCGAATATGGCATTGTTGAAGGATTATGACTGTCGCAATCGCTTTCTTCATCGTCTGTTAATTCCACTGAACAATAGTTATCATATTCATCGCTGGCTATATATGACTAAAAAAAATTTCCACAAAAAATGTGAAAGAAAATTCAGTCATTGAAATATTTTGAAAGTTTAAAAATCGAATTCTAAAAATCGAATTAAAAATAGAATTAAAAAAAATCGAATCTCAAGCTTAACTATAGCTTCAAAATTTTTGCTAATAAAACATAAAATAAAAATTTAAATTTTAGTATGGATGATTTTCCATTTTTCACACATAAGTAACCTAAAATCAAATAACTAATAATCAGATTCACGTTTACGAATAGTAGAATATCAGAAAACAAAGTATGATAAAAGTTAAAACACTATAATATCAAAATTTAATTAATTTAAAGCATTGATACACGGAGTGATTTAAATTGTTGAGTTTAAATAATATAAAATCATGTAGTTCACGAAATTTCATTGTAATTCATGTAAGTAATTAAAATTAAAGAACTAACCATTTTTGAATTTAGCAAATACTTCTCATCACGAGCAAGTAAATCAAAACATGCTTGTTCCAGAATTGTCCAAATAAAATTTCTTCCCAGTAATCGGGAACAAACCCGATACATCATATATGAACCAACTGAAGCAACCAATAATACACCGCTTGTACGCACTAAAATCTAATTTTTCAATTACATTTTCGAAACTTCAATGGCAACAATTTAAGCTTTATGCCTAAATTTCATATCTATCGGAAGTAAAGTTTTAATTTTATTTTAACTTGCTAAGAATGCACTTATTGATTCGATTGCTTATAATGTTTATTTATTTATTTATTTTACTGGATATATTTATATGCTTATCATTTTGTATATATATATATATATTTGTTTGTTTATTTATTTACAATTTTACTACCTAATTTTAATTAATTTTTCATAGTAGGACAAATGCCCGTTAGCAACAATCTATTATCAATTTCGAAATATGGCACCGTAGATTAGCTTATAAAAAATAAAGACATTTTATGTTTTTCTTCTTCAAATTTCAATAATGAAATTTGATATGATTTTAAGAGATATAACAAAAACATTGCAAAATTAATATTTTTTTAAATAATTACTTTGACGTAATATTTTCAGTTCAGTAATATTTAAAAATAGATTTCACTTAAAAAAATAACTGAAAGAAAAATTTTAAAAAGTGGAAAAGAGAAAAATAAGTTTTCGATAATTTTATTTTCGCTGCTCTTTTTGAAATTTGAGAACAAAGTTTTTGTTTTTCCTCCAAGAAGTTAATCAGAAGTGAATGATAGATGTTATGACATTTGTGATACAAAATATAAAGTTATTATTAATACTGGAATTGAGTATATTTGCTTACTGTAATCAGAATAGAAATTTTAAATTAAAATACCGTATGCATAAGTAAGTTTGAACTAATAATTATCTCCTTGATTATTGATGAATATTTGATCCAATGTATTACAAATATAAAAATTACATCATTTTTCAAAACTTAATTAATTTTTAAAAATTTTTTCTTTTTATTACCAAAATTGTTTACTCAATGAATTTGTGAGATGTTAAATTTTCATTTCGCTTATTTCAAAATATCACATATTATAGGTAGGAAATTATTTTATTGAGTTTCAAATACAAATCAATAAGTTATTCTTTAACATTTCACGAAAATTACAGTCAAAGTTGTGTATGTGTAATTGAAATTATTTGAGAAATATAAATTAAAAATTTTTAAGTAATAAATTCTATTTTCATAAAGGATAATTATGAATATGTTGAAAATAAAGATAGATAAAGTAAGAAAAAAGTAAACTATTAGGCGATTACGAAAGTAAGTAAAGTAATTACAATTTATTGTATTTTTCTTCAATGTTGAAATAATTCATTGTCTTAAATTATTGAATTGTTGGTTTTATTCATTTCAAATTATTGCAGAATAAAAAAAATCTACTTTAAATATTGTATATCCTCCTGTATCCGATATATCGGAGGAGAGATTTTAAGTGGGTGATGAAAACATTTACAAAGAAATTATCATTCAGTTTTCATTTATCACTCAATTTTCATTTATCACTCAATTTTCATTTATTACTCAATTTTCATTTATCAATCAATTTTCACTTATCACTCAATTTTCATTTACCGCTCAATTTCCATTTATCACTCAGTTTCCATTTATCAATCAATTTTCACTTATCACTCAATTTCTATTTATCGCTCTGTTTTCACTTATCACTCAACTTTCATTTATCATTCCTCGCTGGCATCTTACAATTAACTGACCATAAAACTACTCAATACCGTTTAAATTAATTATTAATTAACAAAATGGCGCTTTCATTATCAAAGCACTAAATAAAACTTTTTTAAACAATTTTTTTGCATAATATTATATGAAATATTATGTGAAAAAAAACCAATCAATTTTAATAAATAAAATCTCTTCAATTTAAAAAAGAAAATTTTTTGCATCGATCAAATAGTACTATCAAATCAATAATAAAGTAAATACTGAGCTTCGCAAATAATCTTTTAACCTTCAAAGGTCAAAGTTCTAAATCATTAAATTTATCCTTCACTTAAATGAAATTTCTTAGCGTAATTTTTAATGTATTTATATCTTTCATGAATACGGTAGAAGTGTTGATTACTTGAAAATACAATGTCATTTTATTGAATGATAATGAAATTTCTAAAGAAATTAAATCACACGAAAATTCAATTTTTGTCCAATGAAATGAAAGAAAGAGAAAAAGGACAAGAGAAAAATGGGATTCAGAAGTACCTAATGTTACGTTAGAATCATTTCAATTAGCTTAATAGCTCATAGATCTTACATTTATTCATTTCTTCATAATTTTTTATATTTTGTTTTAATTTTTTTCCAATCTCTCCTCCAAAAATTTCACCTTCAATACATTCATTCATTTGCTTGACAAATTATAAATTTTATATTTATTTTAAAATCTTTGCAATTTTAGAAAAATATGGCGAACAACTTACTGAGTAGAGCAACATTGCATTTATCAGCGTCAAATGAAATACCCATTTGTGAGAATATAATTTCAGGTGGTCCCTGAAGACGTGCCTCAATAAATAATACAGGTAGTGAGGCAGATAAACTCTTCATTGGTAGCAATGACATTTTTCTCTGACAGCACAAATATCAGAAATGAAATAAAATTCTTTCAGTTCAAAGATTCATAATAATAGGCACTAAAATTATCTATTGAAAATAAAATAATATATATTACGCCGAGAGTACAGGCAATGTCCCTCAATAGAATTTCGTATCATTCATTACTGTCATTCACTGAAATATTATATAATATTATTACTTCATATAGCCTATAAAATAAACAATTAATTGAGAAATTGAAATATTATAATTTCAACTAATATTATTTATGCTTTTGCTGTATACATCGTTCTTAATAATTTACAAAAGAAAACAATTGGTTTATATTGAGAAATACATAAGGAGACGCAGAGTCTTATAGTTTGTAAAAAAGAAAAATGTTGAAATTTATAGGAAAAAAAATGAAGAAAATAAATATTTGATAAAGAACTGTTGATTCTGAAACCTATAGATGGATATCGCATGTGATTAGTATTGATGATTAGAATATGCTGTTATTTCAGCATGCAACAATGAATAATCACGTATGCAGCAGTGAAATAATCACGTATATAACAATGAATAATCACATATATGACAATGAATAATCACGTATGTAACGATGAATAATTGCATAAGTAACAATGAATAATCACGTATGTAACGATGAATAATTACGTATGCGACAGTGAATAATCACTATATAACAATGAATAATCACGTATGTAATAATGAATAATCTCACGTATGTAATAATGAATAATAGTCGTATGTAACAATAATGATGAAAAAAGCAATCGTATCTGTGAACATTTACTATGTAAAAGATATTGGCGATAGGTATGTGAATATCAAAACATTTGATAAATCGATTTAAAAGAAAAACAATTGAAATGTCACAATAGAAAACAATTTCAAATGGGTCAAGATTGAATGAATCGATCAATACGACGTATGATTGTAAAAGCTATTTATGATACGTTAGTCAATTGTCGTAGAAGAGAAATGAGATTAACTCGATATTACGAAATTTAAACAAAGATATAAATAAATATCTAACAGCACTTATTTATCTCTAATGGCATATCTGAAATTTCTTGTGCAAAACAAAATAGCTTTTTATGAATATTTTTTGAAAAACAAAGAAATAGATTCTAGCAAAAAAAAATTGTAAACAACGCAATAATTTAGCAAAATTATAAAAGCTAACTCTTTTCTTTCCCTCTTTATTTTCTCTCTCTCTCTCTCTCTTCTCTACCTCTCTTCCTCTTTTTTCTCTTTTAATAATTTAATGAAATATAATTAACAGGAATTAATTATATAATAATGTGAACATTAAACTCACCCTGAATTTTTACTAACAAACCACACCTAAACATTCAATATTCATTATTGTTGTTATGAGCAGGAATTGAATAAAACTTAATCAATATAGTCTTATCAGTAAAATATTATAGAAATCGGGAATGTATTACTACAAACTGCGCCATCTTATTAATATCACAATCAGCTGTTCTAAACTTCTCTCTCTCTCTCTCTTACATTCTAAAATTAGATAGTGGAAGTTTAATTTTGAAATTACGTAGAAAAAGAAACACCCAAATGTGATATATATCATATCATATGAAAAAACACCCAAATATATCATATGATGATTTGAAAACAGGTTTATTTAATCGTCCTACACACCGCTTATAATGAGAACAATCAACAATTATCGATGAAGGTTGGTTGATATGGATGGAGTAGTACACATCGCAGCTGCTCCGTATCGCATATGCAAACACACACGTTGGCAAAATCCAGAAACATGAAATTTAGTCAAAATTTGAACAACGATGAGCAAAAATGAGCCACCTGATGACCTTGAAGCAATTGATGAATTTTACGTATTTGTCGTACAATAACATTCACGAATGAAGAAGAGCTGTCAAAAGCTTCAATCAATGGTGCACATATAATTTTTCGTATTTTATGTTTACATTTATTTGTTTAGTAATTGTTGATTGTTTAGTAATTGGAAAAAATCAATTTGACTGTTTATACATTCTAATAGATCATTCTGATACTTCTACTGATTAATATTCTCAAATGATAATTTTTATAATAGATCATTCTAATACTTCTACTAATTAAATATTCTCAAATGATAATTTTCCTTATCAAATGTGATGCAAAACTAATAATAATTAAATAACATCGATCATTTAACATATGAGCAGTACAGGTAAGTTTATGTATAAAATACCACACGTGGATTACTTGACATATAACATATCTAAGTAAGCATTACACATTAAGTATTTTGTAATGCAAATTGATATAATGTTTGATAAGTGAGTTTTCATAAGAAATGATATATTAATTGTAGCAATATATTTTTAACAAATTAGTAGAAACATGAAAATTCAACTGCTCATTAAATCAAGAAAGGCACTTAAATATTATATGAATGATTTTAAAATACGTTTATATATTCTATTTCACCGGAAAAAATTTATCAGTAAAAAAAATTTTGCAATAACGTAGAAAAGTGTTGCATATTAAAAGGTTGGAACTTTCAAAAAAAAGGGAGAAATGCTAATCCTAATTCAGAGACTTATACTCTTTGATATTTTAAAACAAAAATCGATTTTAAATTTAACATACTTTTCTGACTTCTATTATATTATTGATTTCTTTCCAAATATCCATCTATTTATCCACTCATTCAGCAATAATTTAAGAGGAAAGAAAGAAAAAACATGAAAGAGAATTAATTTATTTAAATTTGCAATTTATAATTGTTTGCATTTTAAAACTAACTTTGTTTATTTCAACAAAAAGTATGTACATACTGCAAAATGCAGTCAATTCTACACGAATATGCGGTGTTGAAGAAAAAGAGAAAATATGAAATCTCAAAAAATTGGTTATTTTCTCATCACTTATTGCATCGCTTCTTACATTGAATTTGGCATGTCCCTTCTCCTAGGTTGTTGTTCTTCTCTCTTCTTCCTTAAGAAATTTTCTCTTTTCGTTTTGCCCGAAAGCATTAAGATAATTTCTCTCAGGAAATTTTCCGGAAGTATTTCGATATGTTCACTTAGGAACTAAATTTCTTTTTGTTTTTGTCCAGAAGCAATAAGAAAAAAACTGTAAGAACTTACTGCAAAGGATGAGTGGAAAAAATTTAAGTTAGATTGCAACAAAACATAAGGGAAGAAGAATGCGATGAGAAATAATGGAGTGAAAAAATGCCACGCATCTCTTGAAATTGCTTTTGCCAGATGAGGATACTGCTAGTGGTGAGGCACACAACAAATCGATGCTGCCCAGCATTTTATTAAAACAGCCATAATTTGGCACCGATATTAACAAAAGTTAGCACTGCTATTACTGGAATATTGGAAAGTGCCAAAAACAATGGGATAAAATATCCCGGATCTGCCAGTCTAATAGATTATGATTTACGACTTGTAATATATAGCTATAAAATGGGTCGTAGTTCGAGAAAAGTGGGATATTATAACAGTGCAATTATAAACATATTCGTGCTGTTGCAAAATAACAATAATTCGAATGTCAGCATAGCTAGTTAAACCGAAATTGTCGGCATTAGTCCGTTTCATTCATCCAGTTAGACATCAAAATAACAGCAAGTAATGAACTTGATAATCCAGATATGATTCTTACAGAAATCTTTGTATTATTTTGAAAATTATACATATAATGAAAAGCACCATCAAATATCTCATTATCGAAGCCTCAAATGAAGTGTCGAGTCCTTCATTTGCTCAAATAAAAAAACCATTCGTCTGATTCATCCAAATTCCTTCCATGAAAAGACTAGTAAAATATCACAACACGAAAATGACTAACGGGTAAAGTTTAGCAAAGATTTCAAATTTCAGTCTTAAACATTCAAAAAATCATCAAAAATCAATGAATCTTCTTTGGATAACCGTGGAAGAATTGAAGGTTTAAGCATCCAAATATAATAATGGCTTTTGAGAAAAGAATCATTGATTTTTGATGATGTTAAATTTATATACCTAACAATTCCTAACAAATCCATGTCCTGCTTCCCTTCAAAATTATATATCTTTTCAAATAAACTATTGCCATAAGATTCTATTGCAGATTTTTAAACAATGCCCACTTTGTACATCAGATACACATTACAGTAAACAAAACGAAAGCATAACTGTGTCTGTAACTATTATGAAAATATGTACAGTTTCCGAAAATATGCAACAAATTTTAAAACTTTTTACAATGCCTCATAGGCTAATACTTTAGTCTCATTGAGTTCATAACTACAATGTAACAACTTCAAACGAAACTACGAGGTAGCCATATCAGTTATTTCGACGATTGCCTAGGGAAGAAGAGGCGCCTTGCAACTGCTTCATCATATTTTGCAAACCACCCATACCACCCATTTGCTGTAGCACTCTTGGATCCATCATTTTTGCCATTTGCTGATTGAGCTTTTGTAGTTGTGATGGGTTAATGTTTTTAGTATTCATATCACCGTTCTGCAACCAACAAACAATAATAAATGTATAGCAAATTTTTGTGAAAAATAGAAAAAGAACAAATGCTTGATTTGCAACTATATTTATAATTACCGTACATATGTCACAGCAGCAGGTAAGTAGGGCAATGAAGGATCTCAAAAAAATCAAATAAGCAATAAATCGGTAAGATAAAATTTGTGGTGGTTTTATGCAATTATTCGAACATGTCCTTCATGGCTTAAATTATATATATACATTCTAAATTAAATTATATATATATTCTTAAATTATTATATATATATATTTCAGACAACAACGGATGACACATTTTTTGTTCGTCACTGAAAAAAATTATTCATTACACAAAAGGATATGAGAAATTACCTTGAAGAGACCCTTCATGCTGCCCATCTTTTTCACCATATCAGCAAACTTCTTATACTGCGTCAGTAATTCTTTTACTTCACTCGTTGCCGTTCCACTACCACGTGCTACACGTTGAACCCGACCTGGCTCTTTTGAGAATAAATCATTCGCCTTTGGATGGTCTAGTTCTGGAAGAAAATCCTATAAAGCGACCTCACCGAAATCATTCCCCTCTATCTCCATTCCCTCTTCAAGCGGACATAACTCGCTAATTCTCCAATGAAATTTGATTTAACTCGAACTTTTAAGACATTCTATTAAGTTCAACTTGATAAAAGCTACCTGCGTCAGACATACTATCCATAATAGTCATCAATTTCTTGAGCCTCGACTGGGACTCTTGTTCGTTACCTTTAGACATAAAATCTGGTCCAAATCCAGGAATCATACTCTGAAGGTTGATGAAAAAAATCAAAAAAAACCATAAGAAACACTGTTCGCTTCGTATTTTTCCAGAATATAATTTGTACTAGAAAACCCTTAAATTTCATTAAAAAACAAATACAAACCATAATTTGATTAAATGGACCCATTTTCATGATATTTTGGAATTGCTCATACATATCACGTAGTGTAAACATGCCTAAAATTTTGCAAAAATTTTTCTTCACTTTTAGTCGGAAATTTTAATAGTAGACTCATGTGCAGGAATGCAATATCTCAAGATAATGTGCTATAAACCCAGGGAAATACTCGAATCAGATTCAGCCAACTCGAATACAAAGCATGAAGATGGTGATGAATACTAAGATCATATGAGCTTTAACTTATTGCACTGGACAGGTGAAATCAATACAGTTTAGTCCATGCCATGACCGTCAGCACTGCACTAGTCATCTTCAATTACGAGTGCCATATTCATGACCTACGCAAATGTATTATTATATCATAAATTTAGCTGAAAAGTTCAAATCTGAAAGTAGGGGAATGTTAGCTGTACCGTGCTTCAACCTTTTGATGAGCTCCTCATTATCCTCGATACCAATTTCATTGACCTTTTTCACAAGACCTTCGATGTCACCCATGCCTAGTAATTTCTGCACGAATGGTTTCACTTCAAACAGCTCAAAATCATCAATATGTTCGCCAGTGCCAATGAATATCACAGGTGAATGTGTTGCAGCTACACTATAATAAAAAAATCCTGTGGAGCAAATTAGACTGTTGAAAAAAAAAAGATTTGTGGGTTCATATGGACTCACGCTGAAAGTGCTCCACCACCCTTGGCATGACTGTCTAATTTAGTGATGATCACTGAACCAACATCAACAGTTTCACTGAAAGCACGAGCCTGTGCTTCACAAGCTTGTCCAATTGAAGCGTCCATAACGAAAACTATATTGTTTGGGTTCTGAAATAAAAAAACGTTACGGTGCAAATACCGTTTTAGTTCAATTACAATTAAAAAAGCAGGACTTTCGCATCACCAATCCAGAATTGTGCACTTATATTAGAATTTCTTTCCCTGACTATATCTACCAAAAATGTTTTAAGCTTCGCAAATTAAAAGGTACAATATTACTAAATCTGATATCTGATTCTGCAGCAGTGCTCTTATTTTCAGTGCCATGCTCTTGATGTCATCAATCCTGTTCTGCCTTTCTGATTGTCACACTCTGTACAGAAGCGATCAAACGTAACAAACATTTGATTTTGATGTCGTTAAATTTGACCTTAACTAAGAATTTATAGAACTGAAAAATTACCACAGCATTTGACACTTGCAACATTTCTTCGAAAAGTGAAGCTTCTTGCTTGTGTCGACCAGAAGTATCTACAATAATAATCTCGAATCCGTCTTCTTTGAATTTATCGACACCATTTGTAGCTATAGTAACTGGATCCATTTCGGTATAGCTAAAAGATGAAATGATTCAATATAAGCCCAACAAAGAAATAACCTATGCAGAGTCCTAATTTACAAATGCACCAAACAGTATATTCTATACAATAAAATTTCAACTATGCTGAGAATTGAACGCGTCTTGTCAAACAGGCTAAAATTCTGAATTAAATTTGAGAATTTACATGTTAAATGTAAAAGATGCAGACTAATGAACATCGTAAAAAGATTAACCTTCCATAAAATGGTATCCTAGCTTTCGTAGCATTTTGCTTTAGCTGATCGAATGCACCAGCACGGAATGTATCAGCACAAATTAAACATGTTTTCCAACCTTTTTTCTGATAGTAGTAGGCTAACTACAAATAAATTTTTTAGAATAATACGAATAGAAATAAAAGTAGATGATACTTCAAAAACTAATGAGGTCATCATTCACAAACACAAATATTCCACTTTTCTTTCATTAAAAAAAATAAACCTTAGTGCAAGTCGTCGTTTTACCAGATCCTTGCAGACCAACAAACATGAAAATATTGGGTTTCCCTTTTACAGGTTGGAAAGCTTTCACTCCTGGATCAACTAATTTCATTAATTCCGTAAAAACACAACGCTGAATCAGTCGTCTTTTGTTCACACCACCTGCCATCTCATCGAAATCCAATGTCCTCCTATGATAACGGTCTTATTAACTCTTTCAAAGGTTAGTGAAATATTTCTTACTTATATTAGACGTAAAATTTATGTGAATTTTACAATTTGTGGTCTTGGTGGATAGAGTGAAATTTTATGTCTAGAAAGTCATAAGTTTTGACATTGCAATCGGTTAGCGCTGCTTCTCATGACAAATAAATGGCAGCATCCTACAATTCGCACTCTTAGAGTAAAAGACATATTTTCAAGATAGTGATTGTTGTTGTCATATACTTACTTGACATTATCTTTCAACTGTTTAACGAGTCGTACATTGACATCAGCTTCCAGCAATGCCGCACAGACTTCTTTAAGCATTGCATTGAGCTCATCCTCATTAATGATTGTTGCCTGGCCAAGTTTACTAATTGCATTACGAATTTTCCGACCTAAGTCAGCTAATACCATTTTTGTTATAAGTAAAATGTAACCCTGTAATAAAATGACTTTTACTTTTAATCGCTTGCCAACAATTCAACGTTCCTGTCGTCAGTGGATAAAAACAGAGAGAAAGAAAGAAGTAAGAAGGAACAAAGAGTAAGGGAGAGAGAAAACTAAAACCATGTAATATTTTGTCTCAAGACATTGGTGGGAACTCAAGTCCTGCTTATTCTAATCTACGCATTATACGTCTCCTTGATATGATTGGAACATCACATTAAACATTTACGATTTGATGCAAATATCAGAAACTCCAAAACCACCAACTACACAATCGCGGACAACTTATTCCGTAAACACGGCCCATTACCACCGTTAAATTGACTTCACCTGTGACGTGGGAAAAATGTTGCAGTTTTCAGGCAGTCTGCTCTCCTGTTCCTATCAGCCCTAGCGTGTATTGCGAGTCTTCCACGTATCCTGTCTAGAATCATATCCTTTAAATATAGCTCAAAATTTGTAGATATCACGTTTGAGGTCCCTACATGCTTAAATTTTCAGTAATTCCGAAGATATGAGTGGTATAAATAAGACTTAGATTAGACTTAGATGTTAAATTAGACAAAAAATTATCGAAATTCAGTTTTTTTCTTTTCTGTTTTCTTTTTTCTTTGCCATAGGTCAGTACTTACTTATTGTACCAGTCTAGGCCTTTTTAGTTTGATAAGCAAAGAATAAATTGATTAATTATAGATGGTGAAAAAAAAGGTCAAACTCATTTGCAGATATCTATAAATGTCTGCCTTTATTTGCCGTTTTAAATTTGATTAAATGGTATAAGTTTTATTACAAGCAATTTATCGATCAACAAATCAATCAGTCGGTGATTAAATGAAACGTATGATAATTATAATTAGTAGCGAAGCATTTAATAAATGAAAAGTTAATATCATAAAGGGAAAAAAAGAGAATTTATCGAGTTGTTAACAATAAAAAGATGGAAAGAGTATTTAGTTAAGGATTATTTAATCCCTTCGTTGGGTACTAAAAAAGATTCCCTGAGATCGGGAGATCGAAAATGAACATAATACTAGAAAGAGTAGGTAATGTTTGATGTCTAGCATCAGTTAAAAATGGAATCATAAAATATAGAATCGATTAATTTCATATCATCTCCCTCTTCTCTCAAAAAAACAAAGATTGCTAACTGAGATTAGCATAGACAGTAAAGGTAATATGATTTATATAAGGCCTGATTTATATAAGGCCTTCTTTCAGTACTGTGTTTTTTATTGTATTTACTAAAACGGAAGAATTTTTCTCTTACAGCCGTGATAATACTTCGATCACGGAATAGAATCATAAATGAATTTCATTAAGTTTTTTCCCTTTGTTTAATTTGATAATAATTTCACAATTAGAATTTTCTATTTCGGCAAGATTTATTGAAAAATAGCGCATTAAGTTTATCAAAGTCTTATTTTGAAAAGATATTTTAGGCTTCCTTTTTTCGCCAGAAATGAATCTTTCTTAAGAAGGATTGAATAATTGAAGGAATAAATGCAAAATGATCAAAACAAAATATATTGATAAATGAAGTACGTGAATTAAGTGGTAGATTCATTTGGGAAACATTGAAAACGACATGATGAAATGGGTGGTGTTAAACTACCGCGACCACTATCTTTACCGTTACTTCGAGTGCTTGATCGTCGATTCTGCTGTTTCGATAATACTGCAGAAGTTTTTTTTTCGACTGGTGAATGTTGCTGAAAATAGAATTTTATGAAACAATTCTTGATTTGTGTCCAACGAAAAGATGATTCCTTTCTTTTATTTTATTTTAAATTTTCATTAAATTTTAAAACTCTTAAACTATTTGATAATTTTAGATTCAGCTACAACTAATTATTACCTGTGAAAAATTTGATGATGTATGAGGCAGAGAATCCTGAATGACATCTTTTTCTAATATAACATGTTCTGAAATATCATTCATTTGTGGTACTGCTGAAACTCGCAATCGTTCAGTGGAAATTAGCGGTTGTTTCTCTGCTTGTAGTATATGTGCATGAGTCGATTCTTCCTTTTGGAACGTTGACGATGGTAATGATCTAAATTCTAAACATATTTGAAAAGATGACAATTACATGAATCTCATACATTGTTTATAGAATGATTTGCTTCTACAATAATTTTTATAACTTCTTTTTTGCAAACTTCAGAATTCATACTGAAATCGAAAGAATTAATGATTCACATTGCCAGAAATTTCAAATTCATTTCTATTCTCATTCTATTCTATGTTTACTATTAACAGATGAAAGATATGTAACATACCTGTATACATTATAATTCTTGAAGACCTTTTGTAAATCCAATAATGAACCTTGTTGTTGAGCATTTTTCTACAAATCATTAGAGCTCTGTATAATTACAGTCTATCCCATTATACTTTAACCCAAATTTCATTTTAGTTCTTCAATCTCTTAAGCTAATTTCATAACCTAACATAAATCTTCAATATCTTTACTTCTTATACTCTGTATTTACTATAACTATCTGTAATCTTATTTAAATTAATTATTTAGTCATACAAAAAATCTAGCATTATTTTATTATTAAATTTTAAATTTGATCAATTAAAAAAATGAATTTACCTCAATTATTAATTTTGTTTCGTTCATTTTTTCCATTGTTTGCAAATGTGGATGATAATGATCGTATATGCAAAAGAATTTTTTGATAGCTTTTATGTCAAATTATTTTAAAATTTTTGAAATGTTTAGAATTAAATTACATTTATGAATAATGCATTATACATAAGGATAGATAGGATAGAACAGGTAGATTAATTAAACAAAATTTCTTTTAAAAATTAAACTTACTTTGATTCATTAGAGGTTGATGTTTTATTGGTGGGTAATAATTTTAAACATGGTCGCATATGTGTAATTTTGGTAAGGAATACATAGAGGAATGGATTCGTAAATGCATTAATTGGATAGAATAATACTAAAAATATTTTCGCCACACTGATACTTATAAGTGGATATCCTAAGGCTGCCGTAAAACCTGTAAGAAAAATTTTTGAAAAGAAAAGGAAACAATAATGATAATAATAACAACAACGATATCGCAGAATATTTGATCATTTTATCTCTCAATCATTTCAAAATCAATAGTTTATCGTTATTCTTCAGTATTAAAATATTTAATTAAAAATATTTAATTTATTAAAAAAAAAGATTGTCAAAAATATATGTGAAGAAATTTTTATTAGAAAAAAAGACAATAGAATAAACTATGAATAATTAAGAGTGAGAAATTATGAATAATTAAGAGTAAGAGTTACCGAAGAAAAGGGTTGGAAACCAGCAAAGCATTTCCGTACCAATTAATGTTGCCATTTTTAAAATGATCGCTTTATCTTCTGCTCGTTTCGGTTGTTGCGGATCACAAAGCATTCTACCAATAAAGCTATAGCTAATAGCCATACCCAAAAATGCAAGTACATTGAACAATAAACTGGCAATTACATAGACCTGCAATTGCTACTTAAATTATCTTTAATAGTTAAATGAAATAATTGGTAAATTGTTAATTCACTATTGCAATAATTTTCGAACTCAGATTTTTAATAATTTGTAATATTTTTATAAATTTAATTTGCATCTCAATATTATCACAAAATTTTATAGCTAAAAAATTTGTTAGCTTTATTTTTTGAAAATTTAAAATTTAATTAATGAAAAAAAACTTTACAAAGAAAAAAGAACAATACCCGATCGAAATTATCCTCAATGGAAAGAGGTAGACATATGCTGGTACTTGTATATGTGGATATACCTATAATTGGTAGTATTGCCATCGTAAATGCAATAATGTATGCTACGACCATCATTATTGCAGCAGTTCTCATCCGTAAACGTTTTCCGTAAAAAGCATTCCTGATAGAAAACAATTCAATATTTCCTTTTTTTTTGTTCTGGAAATGACGTATTTTATCAAAATATTTTAATAGCGCTTTTAGTTAAATATATTTTCTTTTCTATTATTTTCAATCAAATCATATATTATTCTTATAGTTGTACCTAATATTGTAGCACATATCAAATGCAATCAGAAACATCGACATAATCGAAAGTTCGGAACTGAAAACGGAAATAAAACCAGCTATGTTGCAACCAATACCGGTTTGCCATGCAACCGCATAGTTGTAATATTCATTTGATGTCTTATAATCTACTGTTGCTAATATACCAAGGTAAACACCTAAAAATATGCTACTACAAATATCATCATTTCTTATATCATTAATTACAAAATTCAATGATTGAGTCAAAGATCACGTTGATTTGGCTGACCATTGCCTTTATTACAATATCTTCCTTAAGTTTCAGATCAGATATGATATAAATGTAATACTTAATGAATCTTTTTCTCTCCTTCTCATCTCTATTTTTCTCCTTTTACCTTTTTTGTTGTTATTAGTAAATATTTTGCCAATTATAATTTCTTTAAATAAATTTTAAATCTCAAAAATTTAATGAGTAATTATAGCCAATACTAATTCAATTTCAATCTTTTATAGTCTTTTAAAAAAAGACAAATATATTCAAAGTATATCCGATTGTTCAAGGCTTTTAATTTTGGAATACAGTATCTGAAGTTTCAATTTAAATAATGAGAATTATCTTTTAAATTTAATACAAGCTTTTTCTAGCCCTTTCAATTGATTGATAGTTTAACTAACAAACCTGTTAGTAAATCAGCCGTTGATAAATTAGCCATGAAGAAATAATGCACTTGCATTCGTTTCTGTCCCATCTGGCATAACACAGACCATACTCCAACATTACCAACAATAGCCGAAATCCATACAAACCATATTGCCCAACGTAAAAAATCATATCTATAAGTAATTAGCTTAAATTTATTTTATCAAGAAAAAAAAATCTTACTTATTAAAATTACATCACGTTAATGTTACGCTTACTTTTATTATTTTGGATGACGTATATGACGTTGGCATATGTGACGTCTGATTAATACAAAATTTATAATTGAAAATTGTAGAATATATTTAGCAATTAATTACAACAGAATGCTTCAAAGAATAATTCAATCAAACCCGATGACATCTTCGCATGGATTCAGCGCATTTGGCATTGGAGTACATTGAATTGAAGCAAAGAAATCACTGACAGCGTTTGATGTACAATTGAATGTTGTCAGAAGTCCAATATCGGCATCCTCAAATTCGGGCGTCAATAATGTATCCCAATCATCGTCTATCTATAATTTATTAATTAAATTAAATATGTATTAAGTGAAGCTTAGCATTATTAATAAAATATGTTAAAAAATTTCGTTTTCTTTCAACAAAAAAATCAATATTGCTATCTTTAAGCGTTATTTTTCATATGTTCTAAAAATAATATATAAATATAATGTATACCTCAATTGTAATATTGCCAGCATTGACAGAATCAAACCATTTCAACAAATCGGAAAAATCTAGCGGATTTTCCCGCGATTCTTGTGGTTGCGTTATTGTGCGTTCATTTAGTGTAGATTGTCGTCGTCGACGACCTAATTTTGGTGATGATTTAGCAGAGCATTCACGATTTCGAATCTCTTCCAGATTTTTTGTATACATTTCACCTGCTGTACTAATTTCTTTTGAGGCATACTGCAAATAATAAAATCATCGAACTTTGCGCATTTCACTAGGAACAAATGAATTTATTGCACTATTTCCGGAATCATTTTCAGTTTTCTGATTTCACCATAGAATTCTGTCAGTATTGATTATTAAGAAGTAAAAATTGGACATTTTCAATCGAAAATAAAATGTACTGAATTTCTAGTTCTAAAAACCTGCTTTTCTTACTATTATTTGGAATGAATTTATTTAATTTTCGAAATGTGATCATAATATTTCAAATAGTTGGTTTAATTATTACACTAAAAAAGGACTAATATTTTTAAACGATTAAAAAATTTACTTTAAATAAGCAGCAATGATATGGATAAGTGAATTCAACTTTTTTCAATGATGTAAATGCCAAAATTGGTGGTAATTTTTTGAGCTCTTCTGTATCCGTCAATTTTAGGCCTTCTAAGCGAGATAAGCCAGTTGTTGGAAGTTCTGTGATGCCGGTACGTGAAAGATCACTGAATTGAAATATGAAATTAATTCATATATAGTATCAAAGATGTGTATGAAAAAGCTGTAAAATATTTAGGATAAAAATGAAAAAGTTGAAATTTATGCATCGATGAATTTTCAATTACTTACAGATGCTTGATAAATGATATGCCAGCAAAAGTATCGATTGAAAGGCGTTTAAGTTCTAAATTATCATTCAATTCCCTATAAAACAAAAAGGATTATAAATTAATGATTGTATTCAGAAGTTTATAATTTTTTAAATAAGTATGAAATAATTTTGAAAGTATTAAATACTAAAACATTTTTGTTGTATTCAAACTTTTGTCATAATAAAAACATACAGTGATGAAACTCGACAATTAGCAAATATATGACTTCCAATTTCACGTAAATTATTATTACTAAGACAAATTTTATTAGCATGAACAGAGCGCAATTGTCCATCACCAAGATATTCGATATGATTATAGGAGAAATCGATTACTTCCATTGCTAATCGATGTCGCAATGTCATCTCTAACGTTGGCATACGTACCAAACCATTATTACTCATCGATCAGAAACAATTGATTATCAAATTGTTATCATTATTCAGTAATTATTTTATTATCAGTCGTTTATCTTTTTGATAATTTTTATCGATCAGAAAAGCTAAATAATTTATAAAACAAAAAATATTAATACTTTTGGCTTTATAATTTAAAAAAGGAATAAATTTATTTATTTTGGAAGATGAAATGAAAAGTTGAAATATTTACAATGTTAAAATTCTTGTATTATTAATAAGTAGAATACCGGTAACTTCTTTAAGATTTTTACAGCCACTAACAGATCTGAAAACAATAATAGGATAAACAAAAGGATCAATAATTTATATCTTTTATTCATAGATGCATTATTTGAATTATTTTCAATTAAGAAGAAATAGATTGAAACCTGAACTAACAGTTTGCCAAGATTATATAGACTGCCAAATGCATCAGCGTTTATTGATTGTAATGAATCTGATTCTTCGATTACACTGTAAAAACTATTTCAAATGTATTAATTTAATAGAATTTAAAAAATAATCATTTGGTAATACCACAATAATGAAGTATGTAAAGATACATTAATATTTGTATTAATTAAAACAAAACAAACATTTCTTCCAGATGTTGATATCTTCCGAAAGCATTCTCACGAATATGACTGATGCCTACATTATATAGTAATCTGAAGAGATATATTTCAATTCAAAAATTTAATTTTTAAATTTATACAAATTCCAATTATTACTTAAAAATTTTTTGATAATTTTTGGTAGAAAGGAAAACAAAAAAGAAACGAATTAAATTATTAATTAATTATTATTAAATTATTAAGTTTAATTAATGTTTTTTAAGTATTTATGTAAGCTATTAAAATATTTCATTTCCTATTTTTTCCTTCCTCTTTTTTCGTTCGTACTGATATTAATGTAAATTAAAACAAAGAACAATTATGAAATTATTTCGTAAATGATACTTAAGTCAATTTTTAATACCTTTTGTTCTATTTTAATTTTATTGTCTTCTAAAAATAGAATGAAGAAAACGAAGTGAAAAAAAAATGAAACGAAAAGAATCAGACTTAAAAGACTAACAGACGACGAACATAAACGGTTAAATTTCCCGGTATTTCGGTAACCGATTGTCCAACACAGCAACATTTCGGTTCAATTATAAATACTGAACAGCTACATCCACGTTCCACACGACAAACTTTCTTATACCTTTTTTTTTTGAATTTCATATAGATAATTTATGATTCTTCTTCTTTGAAAATTTAATTTAAATTTAATACTAAAATAGAAATAGCATATTTTGTTGACAAATTGCTAATGTTATCATCTTGCATATGATATCATTATTAGGTATTGTATAAAATAACAAAGATCATATATATTCTTATATTTCGACATCATTGAAAAAAAAGATTATTATAATAATGAATCAATTTATCATTTATTAATATTCCGACATCGTTGAAAAAAGATGATTAAAATAATGGATTAATTATTTATCACCTATTAATTATTCATCCTATATTTACTTTTCATTATCATTTTATTTTGTAAAAACAAAAAAAAGTTAAGTGAAAATTAAATCAGATACCATTTCAAATTCTGAGCAATTGTACTATCAGAAAGTATAAAAATGATAAGAGCTGAAAGAAAGTGATACATAATTGGTCCATCTCATACAATCTCCAACACTGCATTAAGCTGTATAGCAGTGTTAATATACATTGAATGTGTTATCAGTTCCATTCCTTAAAACTGTGGAAAATTTTATTGATATGAAAAGAATAGTGGAAGAGAAGATAAAGAATAAAACGAACTAATAATAATATATCGTTGTAATATTCTCTTTTCCTTCGCTTTCTTTTTGAACTAATAAATTTTACTGCAAAATAGAAAATGTACAACAACTAAATGACAACAAAAATCTATGAAATAACTTTTTATCATTTAAATAAGCTTTGAAATGATAATTTATTAATTGATGTAATTTATTCGAGTTAAATTAAAATTTATAATTTATAAGTTATGATTTACAATTTATAATTTATAATATATATCTAATTTATAATCTAATTTCTAATTTATAATTTATGCAAAAATTTTATAATCGCTAATTTAATAATTTTTTAATGAATGAATAAATAAAAATTTAATGGTTTATTTGTTTATTTATTGTATTAATAATTGAAAAGACAAAAAAGAAAAGGAACTAATTATTACAGTGTAAATTAGAAAAAAGAAAAAACAAAAGATTATTTAAATAAATTTAAAATATTTGAAGAAAATCGACGAAAAATTATAAAAAACATAAAAGAATAAAATATATGAAAAACTGTTTTTTTTTTTTTGTTAAATAAAAACAAAAGAATTCTAAGAATTGATAATTATAGCAATTTCATTTAAACTTTAGAATCATTTATTTTCGAAAAAACAAAAAGATATAAATTAGAATATTGTGATTTGCTAAATATTTCAATGATATGATAATCGGAAAAGAAAGGAAAAAATCGGAAATAGGAAGAGGGAAATGAAATGACCGAATGAGCTATATATTTTTAATGAACGAAATCAGAACATTGAAATTCTCATTTAAGCATTTTATTTGATTTCAAACATTGATATTATGCTATCGAAATTGTTATCGGAAAAGAGTAGTAAAATGAAAAATTTTTCATCCGGAATTTTTATTTTCCTGTTATTGTTAAAAAATCTTCTCATTCTTCATTTACAAAAGGTAATATCATACTTTTTTCCTCTTCCCTTTTCTCTCTCTCTCTCTCTCTCTCTTTCTCCCTTGTATGATATTTGTTTTTTTCAAGTAAAAATAGTACAGTTCTTTTTGTTGTTGTTGTTGTTGTTTTGCTTATATATCTGTCAAAAATGTTTCATAATTATTGCTAAAAATATTTGTTGTAAAGAATGGAAATGATTGAGAAAAGTGAAGGACAGAAAAAAAAGAAGGAAAGAAAAAGGTAATGTTTACAGCAATAGTAAAATACCTTTCCATAAGATAGATATTTATTGCTATTTTGATTTAAAATAAGTCATTTCATGTAATTAAATTAAATTAGAGAAATATTTTCCACGAAATCAATCTATTCAATCAAAAACGTTGTGAAAATAAGAAAAGACAAAAGTTTGTTTTAGTATCATGCGACATATTTACTTCGATGTAATTTAGAAAAGAGAGGGAATGAAGAGAGAGAGAGAAATTCGATGATGTAATGTAATTAACATGACACCTCTCCTCCCAATTTCACGATGATGCATTAAATTCAGCAAATTAGAACAGATCGTTTTCTTTACATTTCTGTCATGTTTCTCTTCAATCATTCTAATATAATATCAAGAAGAATGAGAGAGAGAAGGAGAGAGAGAGAGAGAGAGAAAAATAATTTTAAGAAAATATCAATAAATATTATTTTTAGTATCATATTTAAAATTCAATGTTTATATATCATTTCAATTTTAATTTACTTTTCTTAATGGAAAATGAAATTTTTCAATAAAAATTTAATTGATGAAATTTTTTGTTTGTTTTATTTTTGTTTTATAAAATTACATTAATTGAGAGACAGCAATAAATTAATAATAACATGTCATAAAAAGATGTAACGCTAATAATATGTAATATCAAATTTTCTGTATGGTAAAAATTAAAAATAAAATTTATCAGAATTCCTGTTTCATCTTCATTTTACTGCTTCTTATTTGATTAATACATTGGTAATAGCTATATTATCAATAGCAACAACAACGTCTGCAACAACAACAACAACAACAACAACAATAAAAACAACATTAACAGCAATAAAAACAACAATAACAATAGCAAAAACAACAACAGCAGCAATATCAACAACAACAATGATAATGCCATTATTAACAAAAACAATAATGATATCAGTAAACGCTAGCAATAAGAATTTTTGGGTGTGTGGAAGTTGAACTTAATTTTATAAATAGACGAAAGGTATCAACTAAGATATATTATAATATTATCAATGAAGAAATCAATCAATAACCGAAATATATACATAAATCATAATTGCATTCATGGAATAATTTTATAGGTCTAGAAAAGTCATTGTATATTCTTTAAAAGTTTTGCATTGTTGTATATTATTTATGAGACATGAGAGGATACGATAAGATACAACAAGTTTTGTAATGCATTCAATGATGATTAATATTTCAGTCAAAATCAAGAATGAAAAGTAAACTGGCTTGAAAACGAATGAAAGAATTTCATTTTCATTTTCTGTCTTCATTTGAACAGCAAGTAAAATCCTAAGTAGATGGAAATGGTGATGATAGTTCTGTCATGACATTTTTGCTAATTTTACTCTTTCTATTTGTCATTATTCTTTTACCATTGTATCTTCTCTTACCATCGTTTCTCAACAATGTTGAAATGAGAATGATAAAATGAAGAAAGTGACGAAAATTCATTGTTTCGTTATATTTACAAATCCTCAACTTTGTCATTTGATTGTTTGTTTTTGCTAATCGATACTAATTGTTATTTTATATGGACTTTTATGGAAATTAAAGAATGAAAAATTTATTTGAAAATAATTAATGCAAATTTTCTTCTTTTAAAATTTATTTTCTCTTCTATTTTAGGTAATTAATTTTTAGAATTTCGAAAGGTAATGTTAAGTAATCGCAATAAACCTCATCAAATATTACTGTAGTACTGCTCTATTAAATTAATAATTAACTGAAGATTTTTTTAGTTTAATATATTTTATAGTTTAATTGGAACAAGTGAATATTTCTTTGCAGTAACAATTGAAATTTCAAATTTGCAAATATTTCGAAGAATGATTATTTATGAAAAAAAACAATTAGTTGATCGAAATCGTTTCAATAGTATAGAGAAAAGATCAAAGAATATATATCTTTCGTTTGTTGATCATATAAATTATTTTAAATTGTGGAGTAACATCAAAGAAACATATTTCGTATTTCAACAAATTATTTTATACGCTATAATGATAATATTGATCAGCTTGCAAATGAAAATATTGTTATTGATTTGTAAGTAAATTTTGAGATTTTTAACTATAATGCATTTTTTAATCTTCACAAAATTTAATTTGATCATTTTTCAAATCATTTTAATTTGATAATTTGATCTGATCATTTTTTTTTTTGTGAAAGATGATTCATAAATTTTGAAATCATAGAGATTAATGTATAAATTTATTCGTAAGCAAATTTGCTATATCTTCTCTGATTAGCATTGATACGAATGAATAGTTTAAATGAAACCATTATCATTCAGATTTATTATTTACATAAATTAGAAATACGATTTTAAAAAAAAATGAAAAATTGAATATTTTGGTGATATGAATTAAAAAACATTGGCAATCAATAAAATCACTGTAGTATTAAAGTGATGGAGCAAAAAGAAGAATTTTCAATCATCGAAGAATAATCACTGAAATTTACACAACCAATAAGCTGGAACTATTTGGTTTCTTAATTGTTCATTATGTTTGTTCATTTCCTCATTTACCTCATTAAACTTATCAAGCCAGGCTAGGCTATTTATACCTTGACTTAGTAAGCATTATACTTTTTTTGGGCAAAATTGTATTCAACGAGTTGTATTTAAATTTATTATTCAAATTTCATATGCATAATACAATTAGATGCGCAATATTGTTTACATAATGAATCAAATTTAGTGAAAATTGAAACTAGCAGAAGAAATGAAAAAAATGAATTTGAAAAATTTTAATGATATGTTATTGGTTCGATTCTATCGTATTGTAACATTCTAAAATTGCAGGTGCTGTTGAAGTATGCAATGATGATGGGCCAGCGTTTTCTTGTCTTGAGCTCTTTTTTGATGCGCGACGTTTACTTTCTGCTAAATAACCACCTTTCATACGATCAACCTGTTGAAAAAAGAAGACTTCAAATGTTGTAGTAATAAAGAATAGCAATATTGATTGATTTTATTAAAATAATTCAAAAAAATTATATGATTAAATTTTTTTACATTAATATTGTTTTAAGATTTAAATTCTAGCAAAATAGTAAAGCAATGATATTTTGTTTATGAAAAATAGTTTAAATGATTTGGAAGATATTTTGATGCTTACGATAAATGATAGTAGCACATTCCATGCTTTCAAACATTTACGTTTACCATGAATTGGTTCAGCTTTTGCGATTGATTCAACTAACGAATCACCAAAATCATCCCATGATGAAGACATTGCATTTTCAGATATATTACAATGTGCTGTACCAACCACTATACAGCGATCCTAAAATAAAAATTTAATTTTCTAAAATTTTTACATGAAATTAATTGATTAATTAATATTATCATCATAGATGTAAAAAGAAAAATTTTTTTTGACGTTATTCTTTTGCCAAATTATGGAGAAATGAATGAGTTACCAAAATTAGCTGATCATTGATTAGTCAAATAACATGCTAATAATTAATTATATCATTTATCATTAACCTGATAGTTGATAATTACTAACTAGAAGAAAACAATTCAGTAGAAAATATTAACAAGAAAATTCACAACAACTAATGATCGATTTCTTTAAACGAAAAAAAAATCAACCGATTTCTTAAATTGATCGATTTCTCAAAAAAAAAAAGAAGCGGAAATGTTAGAGGGAAAAGTTTATGATGTGACGAATTGAAGAATTTGTCTGTATCTATCGTTTACCTGTACAACTTTGATAGAATTGTGAATTTCCTTCAGTGCAAAATCGATAAGCTCTATTAAACCATCGGCATGTTCTTTCACATCGTAACATTTGTAAGATGTAAAACCATCGATAATTAATGTTTTCCGGAATAATTCTTTTGCTATTGCATTTTTTGAAATTACAGTCCTTGAAAAATAATCGAATAAAAATATCTCTATTCAGTTGAAATTTTTAATGTACTTTTTCTTTCTTTAGCAAATGAAAAATTTATAATAACATTTTTATGATCTGAGATATTTTATTTATGTTGAAAAATGTTGAAAAGCGTTGAAAAATGTTGAAAAAAATTTAATAAAATGAAAATGTTTCATTCTTTTGGTAATTTTAGCAATGAAATCAAATATAAGATAAGGAACTTCCATTTTACTTCAACAATTTGGATAATAGTATAGAAGTAAACAGGTAAAAGAAGGAAGGTATCTCTCTCGTCTTATATTTGATATAAATGGTCATGATGTGATAGATTAATATTAATCGAAGATAATATGATCTGTTTGACTGATTTAATAGATAGGTCATTTTATTTATTCATAGGATGGGTCAATTTTAATACATAGCTGCAAAATGTACATGAAATTATGCTAATGATGTAATTCTGTCGGATATTTGATTCTATTGATCGCTAAAATAATTGTAAGGTTGAAGTTCGAGAATTCTAGTATACGAAGTATTCTTGGAGTATTTTAAAAAATTAAATTTCTAAAGATTGAAATTTAACTACATTTTTTAAATTATTGATTTCTACTGACTACACTATATAAGATTTAATAATTTAATTTTAATATTTTAAAAGTCATACCGAAAAATGTTGATAGCAAAGTTTGGTGAGCAACGAAGCCGTTGCCAACTTTGTTGCAATAAATTAATCTGATAACTGAAAGCAAAAAAAAGAAATTGAAATAAAATAAATAAAATGCTTCCTGAAAAATTATTGTAGTGTTGATGTTATCAGTTTTCTTGTAATTTATCATTAATTCTAATTTTTAGTTGAAAAATGATATTATCTTAAGAGAAAAAAAGAGAGGGGACGGAATATTTGCTACAGTAATCTTGTACGATACTTTAACCCTTTATATATGAGTCATTGCGGAAATAACGAAAAAGCGGAAAAGTCCATTTTTTGGAAGGTTCTTATTCGATAAGATAATTTTTTCCAAGCCTTCTGCATTGTTAATTAATATCTTTTAGTTTATCACAATGATGATATGGACAATAAGGTTTATCAGTCTTATTTTTTTCTAATACCTTTACTTCCACCTCTTCTAAATTTTGTTGTTGAATTTCCTTTTTTGCTTTAATATATTCTAAGAGAAATATTTTTAGCACTTTAGCAAGAGGGATATTTTTAGCATTTCAAATGATAAGCAAATGATAACTACACTTCTACATTGATTTCCATCAATTCTAAAATTGGCACTGTGAAAATTTAAATTTGAATGTTTTGAAATGCAAATTAGATTTGTAAATTTGATACAATTGATTTTCTAAATGGTTTATTGCAAATATTTATTTTCAATTTTGTGCTATTTCATTTTATTGCTGCCTTTTGCATATAATAACAAAAGTTTAATATCATCTTTAAATATTCCTTTTTCATTTGTTAAATGAAAATATAATAATTTACGACATTTCAAACAAAAAAAGAAATGATTTATTCCTCTGAACACGCATGCAAATGCACACACATACACGCATGTATGCATGCATGTATACATGCATCACATGCACGCAAACACACACACACACACACATACATTCACACATTCTTTTATCATTTGAAACGAAATATTATGTAGGGGAAATTTTCCTGGCAATTATATTAATAGAAAAAGATTTAAAATTATTTTTAAAAATTTCTGATGAACATACCTGGATAATTGAAGATGTTCAGCTAACGTATTTCCCGTATGACTTGTATCACTGGACATATCCACATATGAAATAGCGATTTATGCGGATTGTTTAATAGTGAATTTTTTGCTGAACTTTGACTAATACGTCTTTAAAAGCGCGTAAATTAGTTATAGCAAATATTTCCCGTTCCACCAATATTCGATAAACAATATCTTATATGCTTGATGAATAGAGCTGTTATCGTTGCTATTCCTACAACAATTAAATTATTATTTTTGCTAATCATAATATAATAATAAGTACATATTCACACATGTATACGTATATGCACACGTATACAGACAGACGAACAGACCAATATAAACTATATAATATCTCATTCATCGATTATTCTCAAATAATTTCAATAAATTCATTTTTTAAATTTAAAATTTTCTTTTCCTATTTATTGAAAAATAAGACAAAAACTTTTATAACATGTGTTTTTTGACAGCAATTCCAATTATTGTTTTATTTTCAAACGAATGAAAGGTAATGGATATGATCAATTGAATAAAATTTATTATCAATCTGAGAGTGTTGTAAAAATGCTGCATTTTCGATACTAACTTAGATGAGATCGAATAAGAATAGCAAAATTATATCTATTAAAATTTCATGAAATTTTAATTTAATTAAAATAAATTTTCATTCTATGAATTCTATGCAATATAATTAGCATAGTATAAAATAAAGAATGCATTGAAAATAAGACAATATTTTTTAAATCTTTTTCTTATCAAAAATTTTAGCAATAATAATTTTGCATTTCATATTTTCTTTGTAAATAAAATATTAGCTGATATTCGAATATCACCGTATCACTTTGGAGAATGTTATCACCTTATCTTATCATATCATTTAAAAAAAACTTTTGTAATCATATATTAGATTGATTTATTATATCATTTATACTTAAAGCTAATTATCAATTATTTTAGTAATTCATAAATAACAGTGAAATAATAATGATAATTTACTTTGTGTAATAATGAAATTAGGAAGATAAATGTTGAGGTAAAATTTGATGAAAATTTATCGTTTAAATAATCGATGTAATAAATTTGGAAATTCGTTGAATTAGAAAATTGCTAAAGTTTTGGACAAATTTTGGTCGTAGCTGACAGCTAAAACGATGGTTACGTCAAGCCAATAGCTAAAACGATAATGGTTAAAGACCGAATAATTGTTAGTGAAAAATGAAAAAGGTAAATTGAATTTTTGGAAACTATAAAAAATGGGATTACTCATAAATTATAATAAAAAGCAGAAACAATATCATTGAATCAATAATATATAAACGTTAATTGCCTCTTTTAAATTCACATTTTAAAAAAGTAATAATAAAATTTATGCATTAACTGAAAAAAACATCTTAATGAATAATAAATTAATGATCTGAGAAAATCATGATAATAATAGCGATAACGATAACGACAATGGCAAAGAAATTGATGATATCAATAACTACAATGATAATAATATATTATATGCTTCTATATAAATTAGTTGTAGAATAATAATTTCCACTACAAAATGAAAGCATTTAACAAATAATAATAATAATATAATCTAATCCTTAATTCAAAAAAATAAGTTGTAAACAATAGAAAATATTTGAATAAATAAAAATATGACATTTGCGCCACAATTAATTACAATTAATTGTAATTAATCTAATCATGATAAAATAAGTTTAAGTATGCTTTCTACTTCAGGAACTTTTTGTTGACAGTAATATGTAAAATATAATATTTAACTAAACTTATTGTGGTAGTTCTATTTGTCGCGCTAATCTGAATATCACCAACCTAATTATAGCAAATAAATTATTGAATTACAAAGAGAAAGAGAGAGAGGGAGAGAGAGAGGGAGAGAGAAGAAGAGTGAATGATATTATTAAATAATATGTCCTTTTTTATTGATTAAAAATTGAAAAAATGGAAAAAATTGAAATACAAAACAAATTGAGCAAAAAAGTAAAATAAATAAGAGAAAATAAAATATTTCAACTCTTCCACTTTTAAATATTTTCCACTTAATTAGCATATTTTAATTAATATTAGCAATTATTTTCCATTAATTTAATTTAGCCCATTTAACATGAACTCTGAACTCTATTTAGTGTTGTTCTATTTATGAACTCTGAACTCTATATGCTATTTGAAAAATTCTACATCAGTTTGATTCAATTCATTTTCAAATTTATTTTTATTGAAATAGCATTTAGATATATTGCATGCATATTGGATGAAATAAATGACAGAGTAATAAATAAATTTAAAAGGAATATTTGATGACAACATTTTTCTTCTTTTCTTTTTCCCCTAGACTGTCATTATTTGTGAGTGGAAAATTTTTCACTGAAAAGTACAAAGTATATAACTTTGTAAATTTGTTACAATTTGTTAAGAAAGGTAATATTAGGAATGAGTCATAGTTATATTTACTTTTTCCATTAGAAACAATGAAAAAAAATAAATTTTAATAAATTCTAATTTAAATTTTCTGGAATGGATTTTAATCTAATTTAAATTCATTGGAAGAAATTACGAAATTAAAACAATTTTTTGGTTTTCCGAATTGATTACTATAAATTGTCAAAAATTAGAATTTTAAGTGAAATTTTTAGCTATCGGTTAGCTTTCGATTTATCTTTAAAATTTAGAATGCTTTGTCTTAAAATTTAACACTTCTGACTTCATTTTTAAATGATACAGAATTTTACTAATGCTGGATGAGAAGTGTTTTAAAAAAAAATCTTTTTATCTTTTCTTACAACATGCAGTATAATACCCGATTCTGCAACATGCAGTATAATACCCGATTCTGCAACATACAGTATAATATCCGATTCTGCAACAAGCAGTATATTCCAGAAGAAAATTTCATTAAAAAAAATAAATAAACATATTTCAATTGTTTTCATAAATGGTTTATAATTAACAGGTTTATAATTAGCGTTTTAAGAAATATCGAAGAGAGGCGCATTTGTCTTCATTTGCTTTAATAAAATCCATTGTAATTACCAATACCAAACTAATATAAAGTATGTATTTGTATACATTTGATTTATACCAATTATATAAAATGCGCACTAAATAAATCTGTGATTGTTATTTTTAATGGATACCATATTATATCAGAAATGGAATACAAATATTAGTTGAGATTTATCATTGGAGTTATTTAGTACTATTTCATTCATAGTTCAAATATCATATCATATAATTGAATTGGATTGAATTAAATATCATATTGTTGAATTAATGAAAATGAATTATTATATTTTAATATAAAGTTATCATTCGATGCAATATAAAGTATGAGTCAATATATATATATATATATACATATAAGCATTATTTATATTGTTTGCAACATACAACGAATGTACAAAATATATTGTATGTGAATTTCTTTTTATACTTTTATTAGTTTTAAAATTTTCAATTCTTTAATTCATTTCACTAATTCATTAATATAATATTTGAATTCAATTGAAACCAATTTTGCTCGATAATTTCAGTACAATTAATTTCTGCTCAATAAACTTCAACTTAACAATGAAAGAAATAGCAATAAGTAATTGATCTTCTCAATTCAATAGCTATAAAGTAAATTAAAGAATTGAAAAAGATAACAATTAAAAATTGAGTAAATGATTTAATTTAATAGGAAGGAATTAAGTGATGAATTAATAATGAATAAAATTTAACAGAATGTATGTAATTATTACACATAGTCAAAATACTAAAAGCAACTAATGAAAGTAGCAAATAAGATGGATTCATTTGTTTATCTTTCAATTTTAACAAATTCGTCATTCATATATAACAGTTTGTGATAAATAATATATTATTAAAATTCTGATTCAATTCATTTATTTTTATTTCAATAAATTTCCTTTTTTTGCTGTTAATGAAAAATTTTGCAACAAAATAAAATATATGCAAACTGAAAGAAATATTATGCAAATTAGGCCCAATGATATCAGTAAAATTCATTTTATTATCAAATATATCAATGATTTTTTTCTTAAGAAAATAAACATGATTATTTTTAGATATTTTTATATATAAAATATAAGAAGTATATATAATATAACAAAGAGTAGAAGTTGATTATATACATAACAGAGAAAATTTGGACAATTTTATCTCTACTAACTAGAAAATATTGCTGTATATCAGTTTCGGAAGGAATGGAAAAAAGCTTCTGAATCCATCTGATTATCTTCTGATTCAGTCTGATTGCCTTTTGATTCTATCTGATCTTCTTCCATTCAACTTCATTCAGTTCATTTTATTTTCTTAGATTCCATATTGTAGTTATTAAAGATTGAGTAATTTCAAAATTTCTACATACCTTTTAAGGCTTGAAAAATATTCTCTAACCTGCGGAAGGATGATCATTGTAGTGAATAATACTAACAATCACATTGTTGTAATTTCAATTTAAACCAAGTTTTCTTCTTTTTTTTTGATAATCCATATTTCATTATTTAATGATTGGACAAAATAATTTAACAGAATAAAAAAAGATGGAAAGTAATAAAAGTTGATAAAGAATTGATAAAAATGATAATGATTTAATAAAGATTGATAAAGCACTTATAATTTCAGCTCATTAGATCGATACATTTCTATACCTCAAATGATTGGAATACTTTAATGATTGCTTAATATCGTTCTCTTATCTTATTTAAATCTTTTAAGTTAATTGAAATTTAGAAATGCCGATAAAAAAAATGTTGCAAAATTGAAAATTTTGCAAGAAAGATAAAGCGAAAGCGAAATAATTTTCATTTAAATGCTTGATTGGAAACAAACGGATGGAACTTTAGTAATTGAAATAATTTCATTTACTGAATCCATTTTAGCTATTTATTTTGCAAATTGCAATTTTTAGATTTATTTTGCAGATCGCAATTTTTTAGATTTTTATGCGTGCATATGTGTGTATGTGTGTGTGTGTGTGTGTGTGTGTGTGTGTGTGTGTGTGCCTGTCTGTGTGTCTGTGTGCATATTTTAAG